GTTGTAGAGAGGCTGTATGCAAGTACAAAGCAGGGGAAAAGGTTATAAGAGACTTTCCTACCACCTATAACGGAACTTGCCAGGCAAGGGGTAGGCTATGGGTGTTTGTTCAAAAGGGGCCATTGCAAAATGGGATTTGGACCTAAAAAAAAATTTTTGCAATCGGAGGGTGGCCCCCAAAACCTGGGGGTCCCTGGTCAAGGACAGACAAGGTTACTGCCTGTTTGAATTATTCCACCTTTAAATCGACAGGATGGGACCACTTCCTAGTAGTAAGGAAAGCGGACCTCTTTGCTGAACACTTTGCTCCAAAAATGAAGTTCTGATCCAGCAGGGCCCTCCTTGGCTAGCTGCAAGAACTGTATCAAAACTGTCGGGGGTGACAAAAAGGGCAGGAGGGGTGCATTTCCTTCTTAAACACTTGCCAAGAAAAGGCTGGGGGCCCCGACAAGTTGAGCCCAAGTTGTTGAGAAGATGTGCAGCCCAGCTAGCGCCCCTCTAACTCGCATCTTTCAGCACTGCCTAGTACAGTGAAAATTGGCCCCTCCATGGAAAAGGCAAATGTAGTCCTGTTCAAAAAAAGAAGGCGAGCAGAAATCAGAAAACTACAGACCAGTGTCACCCCGTAATCATGGTAAGTCCTTGAGACAAAAATTCAAGAAAATGCAGTTTTTTTTGTCCCATCATATTTTGTGATCACAATATGGTTTCGGAAAAGGTTTACTCTCCCTGTGTCTGTTTTTAACCTCCCCACTAAGTGGCCCCAGTCACTGGAAAAATCCAAAGTCAGCTGTGTGGTAGGGACATTCTGGCGCTTTCGCCCGGGTTGGCACCGGGGGCCTCTTAGCAAAACTTAAGCACTGGGAATTGCGGGGGCTCTACGCTATGTCTCCTCAGTGATTCCCTTTCATGGTAGTCTCTAAGGTAGTCCTCAATGGAAGGGGAAATCGCAAAAATCCTATTGGGGCAACGTTCCAAAAGGGAAAAGGTGCGGGGGCCACTGTTATGGAATGTCTATTCAACGCCTTTTTTCATTCACCCCAAATCCATGCATATGCAGCGACTGTACACGACATTCACTTACCCAAGAGAAGAAAGCCAGTGCTCAAGTACTCAATCCCCAGCTGGAGTATTCAGTTGGGGAAATAGATGGCAAGAAAACTTTTGCCCCTGAGAAAACGCAAATGATGATCGTCTCTAGGCACCATGATGGTTTTAAAGCTGGTGCAGTTGTAAGGGTGAAAAGGGGGATGTTTGGGACCTGGGGAAGAAGTTGATATCCTTGGGGTGAAATTTGACTCCAAACTAACCTGAAGAACCATGTTGTAAATCTTGCAAAAAGGCAGCCCGGAAGCTTACAGCACTTTGCCGTTCCGCATCTGCTTGACATAGGGGTTGCAAGATATGTACGAGGCCAAGTCGCTACACCCGGTATGTCCACTTTTTGGTTTGTGCCCCCTCTCATCTGCGGGTGCTTGACAGAAGAGAACAGAGCAAGGTTCATCTCTGCCTGGGGCCCACCTGGTGGATCTGTCATTTCGCAGAGCCTTCAAATAGGAGGGAAATTTTGGGGGCCCTTACTTTATGTACAAAGGCAATATGTCAAAATACCCCATTGGATCCACTTCGGGACAGCGGAAACAAGCTTTTATGCCACAAAAGGGCAGAAAGCAGCAATTTACTCTTGCTGTCCCTTCTCCAGAACACACTCCATTGAGATCATACATACCCGGATGACCGGTATGGAAAACATTGTTCAGATAATGATGTCAACGAGATAATGTCAGTTTTCAAATGAAAAATGCTGGCCCCCAGATGGCTCCCCTTCATCCTTTCCCTACTTGTATGTCTCATAACAAAAAAATTTTTTCAAAGAGGATGTAGGGAAAGCTTTAGCTTGTCAATAAAGTTTGGAAATCCCTTTAACCCGTAAAAAAGCTTGTCAATAAAGCTAGGGGTCCTTAAACCTTTTCAAAACCATGTGTAAAAAAAAAAAAAAAAAAAAAAAAAAAAGAGAAAGAGGGGAGAGAGGGAAAGGGGAGGAAAGAAGGAGAAAGAAGGAGAGAAGAGAGAGAAAGAGAGAGAAAGGGGAGAGAAAGAGAGAAAAGAGAGAGAAAGAGGGGGAGAAAGAGGAGAGAAAGAGAGAGAAAGAGAGAGAAAAAGAGAGAGGGAAAAAGAGAGAAAGAGAGAGAGGAAAAAAGAGAGAGAGAAAGAGAGAGAAAGAGAGAGAAAGATAGAAGGGAGAAAGAGAGAAAGAGAAAGAGGAAAAAGAAAGAGAAGAGAGAAAGAAAGAGAGAAAGAGAGAGGAAAGAAAAAGGAGAAAGAGAGAGAAAGAGAGAGAAAGATAGGGGGAAAGAGAGAGAAAGAGAGAAGGAGAGAAAGAGAGAAAAGAGAAGAAAAAAGAGAGAGAAAGAGAAAAGGAAAGGGAGAAAGAGGAGAAAAGAGAGAAAGAGAGAGAAAGAAGAAAGAGAAAGAGGAAAAGAGAAGAGAAGAAAAGAGAAGAGGGGAAAGAGGGAAAGAGAGGAAAGAGAAAGAGGAGAGAAGGAAAGAGAGAGAGAGAGAAAGAGAGAGAAAGAAAGAAGAGAGAAAGAAAAGAAGAAGAGAAAGAGAGAAGAAAGAGAAAGGAAAGAAAAGAGGAGAAAGAGAGAAAAGAGAGAAAGAAAGAAAGAGAGAAAAAGAAAGAAAGAGAAAGAAAGAGGAAAGAGAGAGAAAGAGAAAGAGAGAAAGAGAAAGAAAGAAAGAGAGAGAGAGAAAGAGAAAGAGAAAGAGAAAGAGAAAGAGAGAAAGAGAGAGAAAGAGAGAAAGAGAAAGAGAAAGAGAGAGAAAGAGAAAGAGAAAGAGAAAGAGAAAGTTCTGGTGTTAATGCCCCTACAGCCTGGTCTTGGATCAAGCCTCCTAGCCTGACAAGGAAGTAAAAGATTGAGAACTAAAGATTAGCACAGGAAAGTACAGCAAGATTTACCAGTCACTTTGTACGCTCTGGAAAATACCAGCCATCCTGCCATTGAAAAGCACTTAACACCTTACTACAGGCATCCCTGCAACTTCACAACAGGAAGGGGGGAAGTGCTATGCCTAGGGGTCAAGCAAAAGCAAACCCCTTACACATTTGCATAAATTGCATTAGATCGAGTCAAATATTTACTCATCTGGATAAGCTTGATAAGAAAACCCATGAATAACTAGTATTTGCAGGTTGCTCACAATAATATAGTCCACAAATTTAGAGGGACACTTTTACACAAGTTCACTAATTTGTATCTTACCTCTGCTTCACTGTCTTTGCCTGTTTTCTGCTCTTCCTTATCGCTCTCTTCACTTTCCTCTGCAGCCTCACCATCTACAGCATCTGAAGTTTGCTTGTCACTTTTAAGATCACTACTTGCATGCTTTTCTTCAACTTCCCCTCGTTCTTCGCTCGTGTCAGGCTCTCCTTCACCTCTTCCATGTTCCTCAGAGTCCTCTCTCTCTCCATCTATGGGGTCACCCTCTCCTTCAGCTCCATCCTGCTCTTCCTCTGCATCTCTCTCTTCCTCTGCTCTGTCTGTTTCCCCCTCTCTCTGGGGATCATCTTCAGTAGGCTCGTCAGTCTTCTTATGCTCAGCATCCTTATCAGCCTTTGTGTCCTAAGGCGCATCAATTTAAAAGTGTGGTTAAGTGTTAAATGTATCTGAAGCAACAAAGTAGGAAAGCTTTATACTACATTAAATATGATTCAAGTATTAAGTTTTAATTTGACAGAATATTAAAAACGGCAAAGTATAGTATTTCCATTAATTTTTTTGAAAGATGTTTCACATACCTTTACTTCTGCACAGCAACAAGTAATTATCAAAACTACAGGGATGGCCACAAGCAGAACGTAGATAGCATACAGCCAGGGATGCTTATTGGAGTAGTTTAGGATTCGTCGGAAAACGCCAACCTAAAACAACCAATCAAACTATTCTACACAAGCTTTAGTACTGCTTATTTAAAATATTTTGGACATTTAATTACTGAACTAATACACAAATAACCCGCACATAAAAGACAGAAGTTTACGACGACGTTTCGGTCCGACTTGGACCATTGACAAAGTCGCACTAACAATGGTCCAAGTCGGACCGAAACGTCGTCGTAAGCTTCTGTCTTTTATGTGCGGGTTATTTGTGTATCGTTCCAGTCACGGTATTGTGCCTTTTTGTTATTTACTGAACTAATTCCAGTATTTACCCACTTGCCTATCTCCAAACTGCTTACCTTAAGGGGGAAAGGAGATTAGGGCTTCTGTTGACTAGCATTCTTTGCTAACAGAATACAGTAGGCAGTAATCTAATCACATTCCAAATTACACATAACAGTATATATAGTGTTATCTTAAATTCTTTTGACAATTGTTGAAAATAAAGTATGCTATACAGCACAACTGTGAAAACTCCTGCTTTACACATTATTACATAGCTTCTACACTAATTTGCTGAGCAAACAGCCACATTACCAGAGCTAATTACTATCCATAATTTAAGAACATGCACGTATACATTTACATATAAACTTCATGCAAGTTTTTTGATTATCTTAATAGTTCTTGTTCTTATTACTTTTCTTTTCACATCAATGCAGAAGTGGAATAAGAATCCTCCGTAAGCCACAAGCGTTTTAAGTCGAGTAAAATGCTGGGAGCAATGGGCTAGTAACCCCTTCTCCTGTAGAGCCTACTAAAAAGGAAAAAGAAAAAATGAGATGTCTGAATGTGCGTGGTTGTAGTGCGAATGATAATTGTGGATGTTATGAATGAAAAGCTGGATGTCCTGGCTAAGTGGAAAAAACCTGAAGAGGGTAGAAGAGTTCCAGTGAGGAGAAAAATGGCATTAGGTCAGGAGTTTCAAACAGAGCTAAGGAGGGAGTAGCAAATGTTAAAGGTAAGTTATGGCAGGAAAAGAAGGAAATGTATAAATTCAAGGATTATGTGAAGTAAAATAAGGGTTGGATGTGAAAACTGGATTATAGTGTTAATGCACCTGGAAAAGAAAAATGGAGAGAAAGTTAATCTAGATTTTGGGAAATGTTGAGTGAGTGCATGGGGAGTTTTGAATCATGCAAGTACTTGTGGTAGGGAATTTCAATGCTAAAGTGGGTAAAAATGTAGCAGAGGGAGTAGGTAAATTTGGGGTGTCAGGGTAAATTAAAATGGAGAGCCTTTAACTGAACTGTGTAGAAAGAGGTTTGGTAACAAGTACAGCCTCTCCTCGCTTAGCGACATACTCATTTACTGACGACTAACTTGACAGGCTCTATGACCAGTCTGCATACTTAGTATATATTAGAGCAATTTCTTCTATTCTGTTTAATACAATATACAGTACACTACTGTATAAGCATTCAAAAATATGCCAGAAATGTTAAACAGTGCAAAGGAGACATTAAATGAATATCAAAGATGGTCAAAAACACACTACCATTATAGCATGCTCCTTACTTAGCAATGAATTAGCTTACCAACGTGGTTTTAGGAATGGAACTCAAGTGAGGCGAGGCTGTAATACATTTTATGAAGAGGATAAGTATACAAGCTATGATATAGCACATAATGAATATAGTTTGTTAGATTACGTTTTGGTGGATAAAAGGTTGATGGGCAGGGTTCAGGATGTACGTGTTTAAAGTGGGGGCAACAGATATATTGGATCATTATATAGTTTTACCTAAAGTTAGAGTAAGAGGTAGAAGAGACAAAAATAAATGGCAACAGTAGGAGGGGAAAGTTTATAAACTAAGGAAAGAGGAAGTTAGGGCAAGATATAAGTAACTTTTGGCAGAAAGGTGGGCTAGTGCAAGTATGGGGAAGGGATAGGTTGAAAAATGAAGAATTAGAATGTGGGGCAGAAGTTTGTGGCTATAGGAGGGTGGGTGCAGGAAAGAGGGAGGATTGGTGGAACGAGGTACAGGGTGTGATAAGCAAAAAAGGTAGCTCGAGAGGTTTTTACAAAGCAGAAGCGATATAAGAGGAGCAGAGTATATGGAGAGTAAAAGAAAGGTGAATAGTGGCGAGTGCAAAAAAACAGCAAATGATAGTGGGTGAGGCACTATCAAGAAATTTTGCTGAGAATAGGAAAATTCTGTAGCGAGAAGTTAAGAAAGCCTAGGGAATGAATGGATCCGTCAGTTAAAAAGTAGTAGATAGGGAGCTGGAGGTATTAGGTTGATGGCGAGAATACTTTGAGGAACTTTTAAATGTCGATGAAGAAAGGGAGGCAGCAATTTCATGCACTGGTCAGGGAAGTATAACATCTTTTAGGAGTGAAGAAGAGCAGGATGCAAGATTGAGGGATGTGCGCGAGGCATTACGTAGAATGAGATGGGGGCAAAGCAGCTGGAACTGACGGGATCATGACAAATGTTAAAAGCAGGGGTGGGGGGATAGTGTTGGAGTGGTTGGTATTTTTGTTTAATAAATTTATGAAAGAGGGGAAGGTACCTAGGGATTGGCAGAGAGCATGTATAGTTCCTTTACATAAAGGGAAGGGGGACGAGAGATTGTAAAAATTACGGGGAATAGGTTTACCGAGCATACCAGGTAAAGTGTACGGTAGGGTTATTATTGAAAGAATTAGAGGTAAGAGTAGGATTGCAGATGAGCAAGGAGGCTTTAGAGTGGGTTGGGGATGTGTAGATCAAGTTGTTTACATTGCAGCATGTACGTATTTAGATAAAGGTAGGAAAGTTTTCACTGCATTTATGGATTTAGAAAAGGCATATGATAAGAGTGGATAGGGGAACAATGTGGCAGATGTTGCAAGTATATGGAATAGGTAGTAAGTTGCTAAATGCTGTAAAGTGTGAGTATAGCAAGGCTCAGGTTAGGGTGTATAGGAGAGGGAGATTATTTCCCAGTAAGTCTTAGACAGGGATGTGTAATGTCACCATGGTTGTTTAATGTATTTATAGATGGGGTTGTAAAAGTAAATGCTAGGGTGTTGGGGAGGGGTGGAATTAAATTATGGGGAATCAATACAATGTAAGTTGACAGTTACTTTTTGCTGGTGATACTGTGCTTATGGGAGATTCTAAAGAAAAGGTGCAAAGATTAGTGGAGGAGTTTGGGAGGGTATGTAAAGGTATAAAGTTGAAAGTGAACATGGATAAGAGTAAGGTAAAGAAGGTATTAAATGATTTAGATAAAAAATTGGGTATCACGTTGAAGAAGAGTATGGAAGAAGTGAATGTTTTCAGATATTTGGGAGTTTACTTGTCAGCGGATGGGTTTATGAAGGATAAGGTTAACCATAGAATTGGTGAAGGAAAAAAACGCGAATGATGCGTCGAGGTATCTGTGGAGACAAAACGTTATCCAAGGAGGCAAAGAAGGGAATGTACGAAAGTAGTGGTACCAACATTTATTTTGTCGTTGCAAATAGTACATTGAGATTTTGTATTTACAATAGTGGGTTGCAATGCAAAGCCTGTTATGTCTAGGCATTATGGGCCGACTTAACATTAGTGGCTTACAGACTACTTAACACTAAGGATTATATCAGTTTTACGATAGGATAGTAATTATTTCATAGTTGTACAGTAGATTATTAATTGTAAGTGAATCTAATTTGTACAAGACAAGATATATTCATATATTCAAAAATGTTTTTTTTTTGAAAACTGATTCACTTATATTCCTGTCAACAATGGATAAAAGGTGTAAAACTTGGGTTGCAAATGCTGCAGCGAGAGCGGCTGGAGGCAGTGGAGATGTCCTGCCTAAGGGCAATGTGTGGTGTAAATATTATCCAGAGAATTCAGTGTGGGGAAATTAGGAGGGGGGGGGGGGTTAGTTACTAAAAGTATTATTCAGAGGGCTGAAGAGGGATTGTTGAGGTTGTTTGGTCATTTAGAGAATGGATCAAAGTAGAATGACAGAGCGCATAAATCTACTGGGGAAGGAAGGCAGGGTAGGGGTTGTCCCCGAAAAGGTTGGAGGGAGGGGGCTTGGACTTCCAGCAAGCATGCATGAGCGTGTTAGATAAGAGTGAATGAAGACTAATGGTTTTTGGGAGCTGACAAACTGTTAGTGCGAGAGCAGGGTAATATTTTGTGAAGGAACTCGGGAAAACCGGTTAGCCAAACTTGAGTACTGGAAATGGGAAGTACAATGCCTGCACTTTAAAAGAGGGGTTTAGGATACTGGCAGTTTGGAGGGACATCTAATCTGTCTTATCTGAGCAGCTCTGCAAAGACTGATTATGTGTGAGTGATGGTGAAGTGTTGAATGATGAAAGTTTTTACTTTCTTTTTGGGTCACCCTGCCTCAGTGGGAAGTGGCCGATGTGTTGCAACAAATTATTGCTCCTAAAAAACAAAATACAAATTTACGATAATTAAACACCGTTTTCTGCAAACAATACAAAATTAGTTTGTGCATCTTACATTACAGTCTACAGCACAATGACTAAATTGAAAAATTTGGTAGGAAAGTCAGGTTTTGTAGCCAATTTTTAAAATATTTAGGGTTCTATTAAGCAAATATAATCTAAAAGTAAAGCTATTTTGAACTGCAGTAATATTCAAACTTACAAAAACTGCAATATATAAAACACTGTACCTCATACACTTTCTTTAGTAGACAATAGATAATCAATGATGTTGGTACCAAAAGGTAGAGAAAGTACAGGGTCCACATAACTCCCCTATTACTGAAGATCTTGTCCCACAAGTTCTAGTAAAAGTGCTTAGCTGTTTAGTGGTTTACTTTCAAATACAGATTTACTGCAATTACAATTTATTATCCTCACTTTCAACAATTTAAATCAGCCACAAAACTTCAGTTATATTCTTCCCCATCAAGTTAGAGATAAAAGTGTCAAATGAAAAATGGCCCAATGACTCGTGGATTCTGTGGTCATCATATTTTCTGCCGTTTCATGGAAAACTACGATTGTGGTTAAAGGTTTTGTGACATTGTACTGAAGGACCAAGGGATACCCTAATTACGGGCATCTTCTGAGTTAAAAGTAGAAGCGTGTACTTCTGTTAAGAACTAGAAACAAGTGACAAATGTGCTTTCCCTATTTGGATTCCACATACGAGTGAGAAACGACCAGTAAAAAACTGACTGTCAACATTAATAAATTATATTAAGGCAAATATACCAAGTAGCACTATTTTACAGATTGTGCACATAACCAAACCCTAAATTCAAACTAGTGCAGAGTGAATGCATGTAAAGTATCTGAAAAATTTCTAAAGCACCTAAACTTGCATATCAATAAAAAATTAATCTAGTTAATTTTATAGTTTTCTGTATTACTTTCAAATTAAATCTGACCTTTATTTTGTTTGTTTCTGGCTGAAGAACCCACCAAATCAAGAAGATGATGAAAATGATAGCTGGGGAGCCACATGCCAGACCATATGCTGGCCAAAACCAAGAACTGTGGTTCATCCACTTACCCCAGCATCTAAATGTGTATCCCCACTGTCCATTGAACAAAAGGTTTTAGAATGTGTGAAGAAACTATAATGATACAGTGACTTAGGTTTTATTTCTAATTTAATTTGTTTACCCCCTCCCCCCCCCCCTCTTTTTTTTTTTAACGTTAGCCATCTCCCAACTAAGCAGGGCGACCCAAGACACTTTCACACAATCACCAACTTTGCAGATGCACTCGGATATGACAGTTTAGATGTCACTCCAAACAGCCAATATCTCAAACCCCTCCTTTAAAGTGCAGACAATGTACTTCCCATTTCCAGGACTCAAGTCTGGCTAACTGATTTCCCTGAATCCCTTCACAAAACACTACCCTGCTCATACTCAAACAGCTCATCAGGTTCCGAAAACTATGTTTTCATTCATTCTCGTTTAACATGCTAGCTGCATGTCCAAGCCCCCCCCTTACACAATACCTTTTACTCTCTCCCTCCATCCTTTCCTACGACTACCCCTACCCCTCCTTCCACTACAGATTTATACACCCTCTAAGTCATCTTATTTTGTTCCATCCTCTCTAAATGACCAAACCACCTTAACCCCTAAATGGATATTAATTCTCGTGCATTCATAAATTAACTAGCAGGGACTGACTAATTAGAGCCTATACTGGATGCAAGCTATGTAATAACCTGTTTGTTGTTTCAGCAGATTTATGTTCACTATTGTGCCCCCCCCCCCCTCCATTATTAATATGGTCTTTTTTAAATTTCTAACAAGTTTCTGTACTTACTACCTCTAACTTATTTCATTTTTCTGCTATTTGCAAAATTTTCCCTGCCAATTAATTTTTTTCCACACTTCCTATCTAATACTAGTGAACTAGTATGTTAATCAGCATGGCAAGTTATATTCAATATTTTTATTTAATGTGGCCACCTCAATGTTGAGGCAACTAATATTTCAAAACTGATGTGCTGGCAAGGATTTTATCCCAATTTTTAGAATCTGTTGCTCCTGAATTCTTGAGTGCACATCAGTATGTAATGCCCAAAGCAAGTAATTACTCAAAAGTTCATTACTGCCTAGAATTAAAAAGTAGATTAGAATTTAAGTGTACATACCTGTCCTTTCTCCATCTTCATCACTTTGAGGTCAAATGTCTCTTGGGCCAACCGATTGGCATCAGCAACATTATCAGTAATAATTAGGTTGTCAAAGAGTATATTGTCGGACATAGACCACAGCTCTATACCAACAGCACCCTGTAAAAAAAAAATTAAGATTTAAAAATTTTATATAAACTGTCTGTACAATTTTAAATTTCTTGCTGAATTCAAAATTACTTTTACTTACAAGGGGTGTCATTTTGAAGGGCTCCAAGTCCTCAAAGTAGTCAGGATTTGGGATTTTGCGGGGTTTCCACTTCCCACGATAGTTAGGATTGTCAATCATGGCTGGTCGCCATTTTCCCTTGTAATTTGGATTGTCGATCATTGGAGGTTTCCACTCTCCACAACCTGGAGCTTCAGAGCACACAGGGTTGTTTATCAAAGCAGCCTCCCATTCTCCATCCATTTCATCATCCCTAGAAAAAAAATTAAGCTAATGTATATATAAAAAATGCTCTGGTCTCATCAACCCCAACTCCCTGAATCCAAAGGCAGATCATAATCAAATTTCTGGATCAACTTTTCAAAACACTCAAGGGACCCCACCCAACAAATTTACAGTTTTCAGGGAAACTGGTTAGCCAACTTTTGTAGGTGGGGAGGGTAATGGCTTCACTGAAGTAAATGTGGGATTTTACAGGCAGATGGTAATGCGAATTTCAATGTTAGCACAATTCGGGCAGGAAAGAATTTAAGGATGGTTAATGATTTTTTTTTTTATCTGCTTATCTTGGGAGAAGACTTTAAATTTTTTGTACCATAAGCATTCACATTTTGTTCATGTTCATTTTATGCATGCCAAGACTTCACATTTAATATAGGTTAGAACTAACAAGATACTTCAAAAGCTAAATAATACCTATTCTCTTGTGTTGTTGTTGATATTTGTTAATTTCATAGAAACTAAACTAGAATTAGTAGCTAAGTTATCAATGCAAAACTACTATCACTTGCTTGTCAAATCTTGTAGTTTAGCCCTGACATACCTATTTAGAATTTGTAGCACATACAAAGCTGATTCTAGGTTTTATATACCTACTCCTGAGCTTTTATTGGGACCAAACAAAACAGTTAAGAATTTTAAGGCATGGTAATGCAACAATTCTAGGGAATTTCAACTAAATTAACTAGATAAACATTTAGAAGAGTCAAACTGACATCAACCTAAGCTGAACAATGACATCTTGTGTCTAAAGCTGGAGAATTTATTTACCAATCTTCAGGTTTCTCAGCAGTTGGGTCAGGAACCATCTCTGGTTCATCATCTAACCACCCAGCAGGCTTCACTGCATCAGGGTCTGCAATTTGCATTGGAGCATCTTCATCCCAGTCATCTGGCTTAGTAGCATCTGGATCAGGAATTTTCTCTCTCTCATCCCAATCATCAGGCATGAAGTCTTCAGGATCATCTATATCCTTTTGTGGGTTCACTGGTGGAGAAAAATCTTCAAGCAAGCTTCCAGAGTTTATCACCTGGGGAAAAAAAAATCCACTTAGAAATTTTTAATGAAGGCCATTAATTAAGAATAGTCAACAAATTTCTGTACAAATTTTAATTGTGTACATTTTACATGCAACTAAGTCGAGGTGTTACACTAGTGTCCTACCTCTTGATCAAGACTAATTTCAAAAGTGTTGTCTGGTCGAATAATTAGAGTATACAAGTGTGGCTTCTTGTCTTTGAATGGCTCTTCAAGCTTGTCACGTGGTCTCTGTAAAAAGAAATGCCCAAATTATCCTTTGCAATTTCATCTTAAAATCTGAAGCCCTGAAAAACTTTTTCCATAATTTTCAGAAAATATAATAACAGATCAGTGGTTTTTACCACAAATTTACATCAAAACTAACCTTTGCATGTTTCTCTTCTATCTCACCAGTAAGAGGATTGGTATGCCTGAATATAAAGTGGAGTTTATGGTCATTACCACACTTGTCCGGTCCAAACATAATAGTGTAAGGAGTCTTGTCGTTGAATTTCTTCAAATCCACGTTTCCTTCTTGAGCACTCAACAGCTGTGCAGAGAAAAATAAATAAAAATATGGCCAAAGAAACTACAATGCTGAATATTCCACTTTTCATGTAAAACCAAAATAGAAAAAGGAAAGTAAGAGTTAAGTATAATGAAAAGAAACATGCACACAAGGTAGAACTGCAAGAAACTTCAACTATTAGCACGGTTGCACTTTTGATTTCTGTAAAGTCTAACACTAATTTATTTCATTCGTTTAACTTTTTTCCATAATCCTTGTCAAGTTTGCAGTCAACCACAACAGATATTTTATACTACCTCTAAAGCATTGTATAACAGCAGTGATCAATTTTTTTTAAAGGCTCAGGTTAGAAACTATTCTACTGACCAGATTAAAAATCAGACTATCTAGAACTTCACCTTGCTCACTATATAACTTGCATTCAATGATGTAATTCTAAAAATTTTTTTAGGGAAATTTTGAATTATGCCAACAAAACACTAGTTACAACATTCAAGAACCAAGAATAGCAATGAAAGACTACAAGGCCAGACCTAGCAATCCGGTTTCAACTGCCAGCATCGTAGCCTACATACCAGTATGTACTTTACAACCTGGCTGATCCAGCCTGCTCTGTAGGTTTCAGTCTAGTTTCCTCAAAACTACATTTACTCAAACATTCTTTTATCTACTGGTACAAGATAGCAGTACCTGGCTATGAATATCTACATTTTTTTTTTTAGACACTAACACTATCAGAACCAATATACTAAGAAGGTATGTACAGACTGAGAAAGTGGATAACTAAACTTGTGAAAAAAAATAGTAGTAGTAGTACAATTTGTGGCTGCTACTGCGAGGGCTGCAACTTGCTACAGTACATTACTTTCAAGGATACTTCTAACCTTAATGTAAGCTCCGCCACACTCTTGACCGTTCTGCAAGTTAACTTCATACTGCACAACTAGAGGTTTCGTAGAAAAAGTAAATTGTCTCTTGAGAGAGACTGCAATTGCTGCATGTTTTGCCTTTGATTTCAATACCAGTCCACGATCCCCAGTCAAAGCCATTCGCTCAGCAGGCTCAATAGACCAAACCCCTGCAAAGTTTAATTTAATGTTTATTAAATTTTACATTAATAGCTATACTGCTATTTTAAACACGCGGTTCAGTTAAGCAAACAATACTTGAAGCCTATTTTGGGGGATGTAGGGTGGGTGGGTAACGAAGTTAAGATGAACACAAATTAGCTTTGGTAACACTAAATACCCTAGTTATGGGTAAGAACATTTTGAAAATTTTTTTTACAGGAAGTTAAAACAAACTATACTGTACCTATTTGCAATTGCATGATCATTTTTCATTGTGTACCGTTAGTAATTTTTAGTACACAATATACACAGTATAGGGCATCAAGCAAGAGGTCTGCAAACTAATATTTCTCATTCTCTCCAAAAACAAGAATTGTGCAACAAACTAGCCCTGTGAAATAGTAAGGACCAAAGTTCTGCTGAAGCCTGTACAGCTTGTTGCTCAACCATAGGGCACACTGGGCCAATACTTAAGCCATGTATGCAGGCTAACCATGCAATTAAAAATGAGGAAAGGCAATCCTGCCTTTCCCTATTTTTAAGTAACTGAATTCATTTTAATTCCACAACTTTCACCAGTTCTGTATTTTAGACATTTCTCGCTAAGGATACGTCTTTCCACATTTTAATTCCTTAAGAAATTAACTTTGCCAGGCATATTTTAGGATGAACAAATATGGATTACTCTAGTAAAATTTATATAAAAGTTGCAAAAATTTCAAGTGCATACAACTGAAAAATGTGACAAAATTTGTAAAAAATTCTTAATTCTGAATATACTAACCATCATATTTTGCAATATTCTCATCCACACCATCTTTTTTGGCTTGAGACTTAACCCAAGCATCCTCAAAAGTTGCCACATCATCAAATGTTTCCATAAGGTAAACACCTTCTATCATCTTTGGTGTGGCATAAATGACTTCTTCCACTTCATCTTCCTCTTGCTGAAAAAAAATTTTCAAGTTAAATTTTTTGCCTGCAACTTTCACTAAGAAAAGAATTGCTTGCACACGCATAACAGCTTATTATACAGGGTTTTCAGAAAGAATGTGACCCATAAATTCACACAAACGTCAGCAACTTAAGTACAAGAATGGTGCTCGCATTACACTAGGATTGGGTGGTAGTGCACCATGCTCACACTGAGGTCCATGGTTTGATCCCCAGTACAGGTGGAAATATTTGGGCAACTTTTCTTAAGACACCTGCTGTTCCTTCACCTAGGAGTAAACAGGTACCTGGGTGTTAGCCAACTGGTGTGGGTCACATCCTGGAGACAAAATTAGCCTCATTTGCCATAAATGATCTGCACAACAAGTGGCTTTCTATACTGTATGTCACTTACGTTAACTAGGACTGTACAAGTATCATGTACTTGTAGAAGTAAAGATCACATGAAGAGCATGATTTGCCATGCACACTTCTGACCACTTTTTTTTCCCTCAACAGAAGTTCTAAAATTTTTAATTTATTAATGTTTTTCCTACATGGGCTGCATCGTTTTTGAACACCAAGTCCAAAAAATGAAACTGCAAATATTTCACTAACCAAAATCTAATTTGTGTAAAGTTTTAGTGAAGTCCAATAGTCTTACTATCTTACAACTGAAGGACACTTTCAGGAATTTCATTTTACTGGAAACTTATCAGTTAACCCTTTGACTGTTTCAGTCACACATACGTCTCACGAGCCACCGTGTTTGACGTATATATACAGTGGACCCCCGGTTAACGATTTTAATCCGTGCAAGAGGGGTAATCGTTATGCGAAATAATCGTTATGTGAATGAATTTTCCCCATAAGAAATAATGGAAATAAAATTAATCCGTGCAAGACACCCAAAAGTATGAAAAAAATTTTTTTTACCACATGAAATGTTAATTTTAATACACACAAACTGAAAAAGGCATGCACACTTACATGACACTTACTTTTATTGAAGATCTGGTGATGATTGATGGGATGGGAGGAGGGGAGAGCATTATCTTCTTACTGTTTAGAAGGGGAATCCCCTTCCATTAGGACTTGAGGTAGCAAGTCCTTTTCCGGGGTTACTTCCCTTCTTTTAATGCCACTAGGACCAGCTTGAGAGTCACTGGACCTCTGTCGCACAACAAATCTGTCCATAGAGCTCTGTACCTCCCGTTCCTTTACGATTTGTCTAAAATGGGCCACAACATTGTCATTGAAATAGTCACCAGCACGGCTTGCAACAGCTGTGTCAGGGTGATTTTCATCCATAAAGGTTTGCAGTTCAACCCACTGTGCACACATTTCCTTAATTTTTGAAGTAGGCACAATGGATTCCACAACTGGCATAGGCTTCTCAGGGTTAGCCCCAAACCCTTCAAAATCTTTCTTAATTTCCATACTAATTCTCACCCTTTTTACCACAGGGTTGGCACTAGAAGCTTTCTTGGGGCCCATGGTCACTTATTTTCCAGAAACAGCACCGAAAACACTGTAATAATACGAAATATTCCGATTGTATGCTTGGATGTTATTGCGGAGGCTGGCTGGTAAACAATGCCACCGGCGGAACATGTGAGCGTGGCTCAGGCCGCACATTGGAAGCGTCTCGGACGAAAATCGGTAAGCGGGTTTTTAAGCGGTATGCGAGGCAAAATTTTTGCAATTAAAGTAAGCGGTATGCGAAATAATCGCTATGTGATGCCATCGTTATGCGGGGGTCCACTGTACTCAAATTCTAGTGGCTTTAAATCAAGCAGGAGAAAGCTAGTAGGCCCACATGTGAGAATGGGTGTGTGGTCGTCAGTGTGCACCACATAAAAAAAAAAGTCCTGCAGCACGCAGTGCATAAAGAGAAAAAACTTTCTTAATTAAAATGCCGACTTTGTGGTCTATTTTAGTATAGTATTTATGGTTGTATTCTAGTTTTCTTGGTCTCCTTTGATAGGATGGTAAACATATTATAGAAAGGTGATTCTGATTTGTTTTACTATGAAAAGAACCTTGAAATGGAGCTCAAAGTAAGGGAAACGTTTGATTTTTGCCGATGTTCAAAAGTAAACAAATTATGTCATTTTCCAATAAATGTCCAAGTAGCCATTCTAATATGCAGTCATGAATGGGTTGACATACAATTATTACAATATTGCAGTAGTCTGCATAACAGTAAATCTTCTATTTTTTTGTTTGAATAAAAATTCAAAATAGAAAGCAAGAGTAATATCAGAGGGGCCTGGAGACTTGACTGATGAACAAAGTGTTATTTTAGAGCCAGGAATGTCTGCATTGTTCATTCTGGACCCTATTTTGAATTTTTTTTAATTTTCGTGAAATTGGCCAAATTGCAAATTTCTGACCACGTTATTGGGTAGTTGAAATCGGTAAATGGGCCAATTTCTTGTACTCAGTCGATAGAAAAAATGGAGTTCTAAAGAAATAGCTACGAGTTTGGTTGACTGGAACAATGGAATTAGGCAAAAATAGGGCTTGGTGGGTGAAATAGCCGATCTGTAAATATCGCCGAGGTCGAAACTTCGCAAGAGCGTAATTCTGTCAGTTTTCCATCAAATTTCATTCTTTTGGTGTCATCACAATCGAGAAAAGATTCTCTATCATTTCACGAGAATTTTTTTTTTTAAATTTTGCGACACCAGGTGACATCTCAGGATTTGGGGTTGCGACATTGAAGGGGTTAATTTTGAAGTACAATACAGAATACAATGATATAGCCTACAAGGAAACATTTACTATCTACAAGAATTTTTTTAAATTCTTTAAAACCTTTCAAGTATAGCATAGACTGTTGTGGCTAATGTTTATCCCACTTCAGTTTTCCTAATACTGACTCAGCTATGATGCATCTGTATTTAAGTTTCTAGTTCAACTCTCAAGATCCAAAATATCCTTCACAAGTTGTAGCAGAAACAAGAAATGCCCATTCCTAGCAAGAAGGAAAAACTGGCTACATTAACATCAAGAATTCTTTTCCCACTGCTGGTCTAAACTGGTGAAGAACATGGCTGTAATGCAGATATCAGTTCAGAGGGCAATGAAAATACCAAGTTATAATCAGACTAATTTGCTAAGCTCTACATAAGTTATGCAATTCATATTAATTTACACTGAGAATATGCAGATGGTAATTACCTAAAAATGAATTTTTCTTAAGCTCCTGAAGCACTGGCTATGCTCGCAGTTATGACATCAATCATGAACAAGCTCAAGAGATTAATTTCTATTCCTAGCATAATTAACAGAATAAGGTTACAGTTTTATACAGAAGCCATGACAGAAGTCATTGGTAGAAATATTAAAAGTTAAATGTTACAGCCAATGAAGTTTATCGAGTTCTGGCAAGTAGCAACACTCGGGTCATAAAAAGTAATTATAGTATGCCTATAGTTAATGAAAAAATGACTTACTAATTTCTCCTCTGTGACGGTTACTTCATCATCAGCTTCTACTCCACACATTAACAAGTAGAATGTTAAAGCTGCCAATATACATAACTGCCATCTCCCTGCCATTGTCTGAAAAATCAGAGTAATGAAAGTAAAATTTTTAAATGGTTCAAACTTTGTTTTAACTAGTTATGGGAACTACAGGAACTAAACTCCAGCAAGATATCAAATTATTGCCGAGGTTACAAATACCTCAGTAGCTGTTGCCTGAAATGCTCTGCATACTAAATGACTTTCTGAATGCACACCTAAATGTCACCCCTTCTCTGTACAAACTATGTATTATGCTGAAATGAATATGAAGGCTCCCTCTACTGTCAAAATTCTAGAGGCTACTTCAATAAAAAAAAATGCATTAAAAAACAAAGCAAGCAACAGTATACCACCACTCGTATATAAGAAACCTGCTCATGTGCTATTACCCATCACTGCAACCTGACTATTAAACAAGGGTACCCCAGGGTATGAATTTCAACATTACTCTACCAATTACCTGCAAAATGACCCAGGAACTTAACCAATCGTATTTGCAGATAATTTCTGATGTACATAATCCAGATGCTGCTGTCCAACAAACCAGGAGCTTCTAAAGATTGTGTAGATTTTATTGACAAAACCTACACATTCAAGAATGAAGCCAAAAATGACCATTCCAACAAAATTAAGTCACACAGACGAGAGGGGAAAATTCCTAGGATACACTGACTGCAGTAGAAATTTAACACTAATCCAAGAAAATTTCAAAAACTGAGCATTTTATCAAAAAACACTAATTTGTTCCACAAACAACTACCATAATCCATCTTTACCTCACTTAAAGGATTTAATGCTTGGGGATCTAGAGCAAATTACCTGAAACTCATTGTTACCAACCAAATCAATTTTGACATTTAACCAGGTTCCAGACCCCCCCCCCCCCCACAATTGAAGAAAATTTACTCTTAACACATCTACACTTACTGTGCATTTTATATACTGTATACAGAACACTGAAAACTTCAAACCAACACTTCAATCCTTCCTAGAGCTGCAACAGAACAAATAGTATCATGTATATACATGATTGACAACCTATATAGGAACTATGCAAATAGAGCCCAGAATCCCTTCAGCCACCAACTTCAAAAGTACATGTATTAAGTGCCTAAATGCAACACTGCATACATTAACAATGTTACAGCCTTATCTTTCAATAGCAAGCCTCTTGATCCAGATCATTTAAGTATTCATAATGAAGTTGTCCCTATCACCTCTGATTCTACAGGTGTAATTTATAGCACATTTTACCTTAGTATTCTCCACAATGTTATAACTTGCTACACAAGCATAATTAGACAAATTTTGCAATATTTACATTGTCATTGCAAACCCAAGAATTATAGTAAACTATCCTTACTGTATAATTGCTATTAATTAAAAGTTAGTTCATTTTAAGGCTGCCCAACATGCTCTTTATAAGGGAGGAAAAGGGACTGCTATCAAGTAGTTTATACATGCTTAACTATATTAATGTATATAGTGTGCTTTAATAAAGAAATGGATTGTCATGTATCTATAATCTGCTTCAATGAGCACTTTGCAAGAATTTTAGTGGAAAGAATCATTACCTGGAGTATACCTCAGTCACAGAAACCCAAGGCAAACGGAAACCAAGCCTGTGCACATACTATGCACTCGGTATCTGCTGGCATGGGAAATCTGGAAAAACAGATGGGACGTGCAACTATGACCACCCTAGAAAATGCCATGCCCATATGACAACAGGAAAATGCAAACTCCCTTCCTGTAAACTTTTTCACCCTGAACTGTGTACCTCTTCAGTACAGGAAAGACTGTGCTATAACTCAAATTGCCAGGCATACCATCTAAAGGGGACAAAAAGATACAAAACATCCAGGCCATGGGAAAACCTGGGTAGCCACAGCCACTCAAGAGGGAGAGGTTTTTAGTGCCAGGAAGGAAAAAAAAATGACAGGAAATGGCAGAAATCGTACACCAAATCCAGTCATTCCTGGAGTGGAACCACAGTCGATGGCCTCCACTCCAAACCAACAGATACTAATGCCGGAAAAAAAAAATCCCCCCCAGTACCAACAATACCACCAGTCCGATAACATTCTTCTTTGCAAATATACAGGGTCTAAAGCCAGCAACAAACAACAAAATACCTTTCATCCGTGGACTGCTTGCAGAGGCAAAGGCAATGTTCGCGGCTTTCACTGAGACCCACATAAAGGATCACTTGGACAACGAAATATGGATCCCAGGTTACAACCTATACAGATGTGACAGAGTGAACAGGCAAAAAGGGGGGGGGGGGGTTGGCCTGTACATTGCAGAGTCACTGTTTGCACAGAACTGCTAAATGCCTCAAATGATGTAGTGGAAGTTTTAGCAGTAAAGGTCGAGAACCAAAACCTAGTCATTGTGGTAGTCTACAAGCCTCCGGATGCAACATCCCAGCAATTCCAGGAACAGCTGTTAAAAATTGACCACTGTCTGGAAAACCTTCCAGCTCCTGCACCCAACATCTTGCTCCTGGGGGATTTCAACTTAAGGCACCTAAAATGGAGGAATATAGCAAATAATATTGTTGCAGTAATAACACCAGGAGGCAGCTCTGATGAAAACTCACACTCACGCGAGCTTTTAAATCTCTGCACAAAATTCAATTTAAACCAGCAAATAATAGAGCCTACTAGACTGGAGAATACACTAGACCTCATCTTCACTAACAATGATGATCTGATAAGAAATGTCACCATATCAAAAACAATATACTCAGATCACAACATAATTGAGGTTCAGTCATGTATGCGCGGAGCCCCAGACCGACATAATGAGATTAGTCACGAGGGAGCATTCACCAAATTCAACTTCAATAACAAAAACAAAGTGGGACCAAGTAAACCAAGTCCTAACCGATATAAGCTGGAAAGATATACTAAGCAACACAGACCCCAACTTATGCCTAGAACAGATTAACTTGGTGGCACTCGATGTATGCACAAGGCTTATTCCTCTAAGAAAAAGGAGTAGTAGATGTAAAACAGAGACAGGCGCTCCCTTTACAGGCGACGGAAAAGAATAACAGAGCGGCTAAAAGAGGTCAATATATCTGAAATGCGTAGGGAGACACTGGTCAGAGAAATGGCAAGCATCGAACTTAAGCTAAAAGAATCCTTTAGGAGTCTGGAATCGCGGGAAGAACTAAAAGCCATAAATGAAATCGAAAGAAACCCAAAGTATTTCTTCTCCTATGCCAAATCAAAATCGAGAACAACGTCCAGTATTGGGCCCCTACTTAAACAAGATGGGTCCTACACAGATGACAGCAAGGAATGAGTGAGCTAACTCAAGTCCCAATATGACTCAGTTTTCAGCGAGCCGCTAACCAGACTGAGAGTCGAAGATCAAAATGAATTTTTTATGAGAGAGCCACAAAATTTGATTAACACAAGCCTATCCGATGTTATCCTGACGCCAAATGACTTCGAACAGGCGATAAATGACATGCCCATGCACTCTGCCCCAGGGCCAGACTCATGGAACTCCGTGTTCATCAAGAACTGCAAGAAGCCCCTATCACGAGCCTTTTCCATCCTATGGAGAGGGAGCATGGACACTGGGGTCGTCCCACAGTTACTAAAAACAACAGACATAGCCCCACTCCACAAAGGGGGCAGTAAAGCAACAGCAAAGAACTACAGACCAATAGCACTAACATCCCATATCATAAAAATCTTTGAAAGGGTCCTAAGAAGCAAGATCACCACCCATCTAGAAACCCATCAGTTACACAACCCAGGGCAACATGGGTTTAGAACATGTCGCTCCTGTCTGTCTCAACTATTGGATCACTACGACAAGGTCCTAAATGCACTAGAAGACAAAAAGAATGCAGATGTAATATATACAGACTTTGCAAAAGCCTTTGACAAGTGTGACCATGGCGTAATAGCGCACAAAATGCGTGCTAAAGGAATAACAGGAAAAGTCGGTCGATGGATCTATAATTTCCTCACTAACAGAACACAGAGTAGTCGTCAACAGAGTAAAGTCCGAGGCAGCTACGGTGAAAAGCTCGGTTCCACAAGGCACAGTACTCGCTCCCATCTTGTTCCTCATCCTCATATCCGACAGACAAGGATGTCAGCCACAGCACCGTGTCTTCCTTTGCAGATGACGCCCGAATCTGCATGACAGTGTCTTCCATTGCAGACACTGCAAAGCTCCAGGCGGACATCAACCAAATCTTTCAGTGGGCTGCAGAAAACAATATGAAGTTCAACGATGAGAAATTTCAATTACTCAGATATGGTAAACATGAGGAAATTAAATCTTCATCAGAGTACAAAACAAATTCTGGCCACAAAATAGAGCGAAACACCAACGTCAAAGACCTGGGAGTGATCATGTCGGAGGATCTCACCTTCAAGGACCATAAACATTGTATCAATCGCATCTGCTAGAAAAATGACAGGATGGATAATGAGAACCTTCAAAACTAGGGAGGCCAAGCCCATGATGACACTCTTCAGGTCACTTGTTCTATCTAGGCTGGAATATTGCTGCACACTAACAGCACCTTTCAAGGCAGGTGAAATTGCCGACCTAGAAAATGTACAGAGAACTTTCACGGCGCGCATAACGGAGATAAAACACCTCAATTATTGGGAGCGCTTGAGGTTCCTAAACCTGTATTCCCTGGAACGCAGGAGGGAGAGATACATGATTATATACACCTGGAAAATCCTAGAGGGACTAGTACCAAACTTGCACACGAAAATCACTCACTACGAAAGCAAAAGACTTGGCAGACGATGCACCATCCCCCCCAATGAAAAGCAGGGGTGTCACTAGCACGTTAAGAGACCATACAATAAGTGTCAGGGGCCCGAGACTGTTCAACTGCCTCCCAGCACACACAAGGGGGATTACCAACAGACCCCTGGCAGTCTTCAAGCTGGCACTGGACAAGCACCTAAAGTCAGTTCCGGATCAGCCGGGCTGTGGCTCGTACATTGGTTTGCGTGCAGCCAGCAGCAACAGCCTGGTTGATCAGGCTCTGATCCACCAGGAGGCCTGGTCACAGACCGGGCCGCGGGGGCGTTGACCCCCGGAACTCTCTCCAGGTAAACTCCAGGTACCTGGAGAGGGTTTCAGTAATCAATGCCCCCGTGGCCCGGTCTGACCTGGTCTGATCAAGCAGGCTGTTACTGCTGGCAACATGCAAACTGACATACAAGCCGCAGCCCTGCTGGTCAAGTACCAACTTTAGGAGTCTGTCCAGCACCTTGACAGCCAGGGGTCTATTGGTAATCCCCCCTTATGCATGCTGGGAAGCAGTTGAACAGTCTTGGGCCCCTGACACTGTTCTCTTACCATACTCATGGTGCACCTGCTTTTCACGAGGGGGGGAGGGAGGTGGTTGTTGCATCTCCTGTAGTCTTTTGCTTTCAGAGGGAGTGATTTTTGCATGCAGATTTGGAACTAGTCCCTCTAAGATTTTCCAATTGTATACTATCATGCATCTTTCTTGCCTGCATTCCAGAGTACAAATGAAGGTACTTAAACTATTCCCATAATTTAGGAGTTTTATTGTACTTGTACATGCTGTAAAAATTCTCTGTACATTCTACAGGTCTGCAATTTTGCATATCCTGAAAGGGGCCATTTGAAGAGAATCACTGGCTTGGCATCCCTAGTTTGAAAGGTTCTCATTATCCATCCTACTGAAAGTGAGATTCCCTGACATTTATCACCCCCCAGGCCTTCATACTAGTTTTGCACTATTGTGTGGTAGGAATTTGTTTTACACTCCTACAGTTTTAATTTCCTACTTTTCCCACACTGGAATAATTGTAATTTGTCTGCACTAAACTTCATAGTGTTTTCTGTGGCCCACTTAAAGACTTGGGTTATGCCCGCTCAGACTTACAGCGTCATCGATGGATGATGCATTCAAATTTGGGTGTCAATTATAATTTTCCCCACATTGGCCTCAGCTATCCCTGGGCCAGAGCTCTGTACCTGGGCAAAGCTCTCACCAAGTCATCCTCTTAGCTACTTACCAGAGTTTATAAAGGCCTCCACATACACCCATAATTTCTAATCTAAGGTCATCCTCCATGAGAGAATACATGGCCTACAGAGACAGTCCCCTAATAGAACAGGGTTTGAAAATTAACCACCACACTTATCTTCGCAAGTCAACAGATCTGGGAGATGAGCCGTTTTTCAGGTTATGAAGGCCTGTACACATTCTGGCTACAGGTCACAGCCCATGGGCCATGATTGTGGCTTGATATACCCAGGGTGTGAAAGATTAGCACTAACTACTGTGGTCCCAGGGAGAAACAAGACACCCAGTCAAACCTGATATTGGGGAGGCAGTCAAGACCACAAGATTCCCTGCATCAATTCAATTCAAAATTTATTCTCTACAAGGATTACAATGCTGAGTTTACAGAATTTGGTTATTGTGTGGTTTACATGTAGTAAAATAATAATTACAGAGTGTACCACTAGAACACCTAGCATGGCTAGGCATTTCGGGCAGACTTAAATTAAATCTTAAGTTTAAAATATTATAAAATTATGAGGTAAGTTGGTATAATGGCTAAGTGACTAAATACTAGTTTGTGAGTTTAGCAATGTGAATACTTTTGTTTTGGCACTATACATAGTTTCAGTAATGGAGTATCACAGGCCAACTTATGACTAGTTAAGATTCATTATTTTGAGATTGAGATTGATATTTCTGTTTATGGTCAAATGGGTGAGTGAGTGTAAGTGAACCACCAGGTGGTATCCGTATTATTAGTTGACAGGGTGTATCAGGGTGTATCAAGAGCCCTCCCCATAAGGTAAGGAGAAACCAATATATGAAACTAGATATTTTATATACATCCTAAATACCCTTATCACCCATGTAAATAGTTATACAGCATTCATAATGCACTACCTTTTTTCTGACATTTTTGGCCTGTTTTAGTAAAAATGTAATGGGAAGCACAAATGCCATATGGAACCACAACCTGGGTAATGCAAGATAATCTAGTTTAATGCAAGGTAAGATCAGATTACAAATCTTTTTATTACTGACAACCAACAGTCATCACCTGCAGAATGAAACAAACTCAACAGCCGCAAAAACTCAATATTTAGACTTCAAAAGGTTGCAACATTCAGTATAATTAACAAATTAAAATGAATTTTTTATTCTGGTCAAGATCAATAATTACATAACTTACTAGTTTTAAGTGGTTTAACTTTTAAGACCTGGATAGGAAAGTACATGCAGAGAAGCCTTTATTGGCACATTTCATGCACGAGGAGCCTCTGATATGTACTTAAACTAACCCCCCCCCCCACCTTTTTACCCTCATGGGAGAAACGTTGCAACAATAAAGGCTTACCTACATTTCGTATCTTGTATCTGTCAGGGTAAATGCCAATAAACCTAAAACCTGATAAACGAATTACCGACGTAATAGTAACACATTAATATGGGTACCTGTGTGATGACAGGATATTTATTTTGAGGGGGGGAGGGGTAATTAAGGTAAATCAGTGAAGGTAAATGTGGGTCCAGGTGAGAATTATATGCATGGGTGAAGCTCCAACACCGTGCAAGTTACACAACACCTGGGGAACAACAGTTAATGACGTCTAACAGGGGGAACCCGAGGACATCTACAGATGGTTGAAATATGTGAGGGATGATCCGCCATGGAAGGAGAGGTGAGGTGATGGTGTCAGTCCAGCAGACGACGCCCTCACCCCACTACCGGTCACCCACATCTTATTTCCCCTCCACCGGGAACCATCTGAGGCTTATCTCACCCTGTAGCGCACCAGCAGGAAGCAGCAAGAGCAGCAGGTGGTGCAGGCGCTGACAGTGACGCCCTAGGAGGTGGAAAGTACACAGGACGTAGGTGCAGAAAGTGCTAGAGGTCCACCCAACACTGCCGTCAAAACACAACTTTGAAGTCTCTGCACTTCCTTAGCGCGTGGTTGATGCTGATTGGTCCACTGCTATCTACCCGCCATGGAAGCCTCTTTCTCATTGGCTTGAACTTGATCAAATTACTTTCCACACTGTGATTGGCTAGCAGACGACAGTACATATACTCAATGTCTTCTTTTATTCTGGTAAAATAGAAAACGATTCAGTTTTCAAGATCAAGGTTAACCTCTCTTTGAAGTAATTACCTTCACCAGAGAGAATTAATGGTCTTTATAGACTCTTGATACAAGGAAAAAGAGATACATCTGATTCTCGAAGACGCCCTCACCTGATGCTCACCGGTGACCTGTTTTCTGCACTATATATACTGTGTTCTCCCATTCTCTTGTATTATTATTATCAAAAGTAATAATAATATCTTTATTTCTACAAGTACATGTACAAGGTATACAAACCATAGCTGACATCAATGACATACTACTATATAGAAAGTCGCTTGTTATGCAGAGCATTTCGGGCAAATTAGATCAGTTTTGTCCCAGGATGCGGCCCACACCAGTCCACTAACACCCAGGTACCTATTTTATACCGATAGGTGAACATGGACAACAGGTGTTTTATGGAAACACGTCCTAATGTTATCCAGCCGTACGGGGATCCGAACTTCGGATCTCAGTGTGTAAACCGTGTGCGCTAGCGACCGAGCCACGGGGCACCTCAAGTCGATATCGGTACAGGCACACATAAGTACATTTATCACACATATTGTAAATTACCCGGGATAACCAAAAAAGACAAACTGACTTATTGTCACTGGGGCCCTGGGTGTATGATGCATTCCTTTCATCCATATTGTTGGTATCGTTATACCGTCTATTTTCAAGGAAGGTTATCATAGCTAGCCCCATGAAGGTTATCATAGCTAGCCCCATGAAGGTTATCATGGCTATCCCCATGAAGGTTATCATGGCTAGCCCCATGAAGGTTATCATGGCTAGCCCCATGAAGGTTATCATAGCTAGCCCCATGAAGGTTATCATGGCTATCCCCATGAAGGTTATCATGGCTATCCCCATGAAGGTTATCATGGCTAGCCCCATGAAGGTTATCATGGCTAGCCCCATGAACGTTATCATGGCTAGCCCCATGAAGGTTATCATAGCTAGCCCCATGAAGGTTATCATGGCTAGCCCCATGAACGTTATCATGGCTATCCCCATGAAGGTTATCATAGCTAGCCCCATGAAGGTTATCATGGCTAGCCCCATGAACGTTATCATAGCTAGCCCCATGAAGGTTATCATGGCTAGCCCCATGATGGTGCTATTTTTAATTTGTATTTTTATATTATTAGATTAAACCTTGTTGTACTATAGATCATTCTAGCTCAATACATAGACTATACCAAAGTCATTACATTAGACCTTAGTGCAATTACAAGTGAGAGTCTTGTGCTATTTTTAATTTGTATTTTTATATTATTAGTTTATACCTAGTTGTACTTTAGCTCATTCCAGCACAACACATAGACAACACCAACTCCATTATGTGTATTAGTGACTATACTCTACATGACCAAAATGCTATAGCTATACACTTGTCCAAACTTCCCACCACTACAGATATCAGTACTAAAACTCAACACACAACTCAGGATATAAATAACCATAATTTAAACCTAGAAATGATTGATCACGTTGACCTGATCTAAACCTCCATAATCTGACACACAATCAAAACCTATTGGAAAGTAACTACCTTTACTACACAGCATCACAACCCAGCACTATCCTAAACAATACTAAAAGTCTATCAGTACTTAACTACAACATTAGGTCCTTAAGCAAACACTATGATGACCTCCTGGCACTCCTTGAATCACTAAAGACACCCTTCTCCTGCATTATTCTTACTGAGACCTGGCATAAGCAGGACATAATAGATATCTACCCTCTACCAGGATACACAGCAATCCACATCTGCAGACCATACCAAGTTGGGGGTGGTTTGCAATCTATTACTCTAACCAATTATCTTGTATTAGCACCACTTGCATTAGTGATGAATATGGAGAATACATTTTTGCTAATTTTACTGTAAAAAACCTTAAGACGCCTATAACAATCGGTGCCATTTACCGGATACCCCACACAAACATCCCAAATTTCAGTGAGAAACTAAAGGCACTAATAACAAACAGACAAATGAATAAGCACCACCTTCTCTTAGCTGGAGACTTCAACATCAACCTGGCCTACTAGATGATCAGCCTGTAACTGATTTCATCAATAATATGAACAACACACTTCTCATACCAACAATAACTAAACCAACCAGGCTCACTGAAACAAGTGCAACCATAATAGGCCACATATGGACCAATATACTAGCCCCCCTTAATCAGGGATAATCACAGATATCATACAGACCACTACCCTACCTTCCTCTTGACAAACATTAGTAAACCACCACTTGAATACAACAAAGTTTCATTTAGACTCCATGATGAGGCTCAATAAGGAAGTTCACAGCTGACCTAGAGACTGTTGACTGGCCTACAGAATTCTCCAAGGCCAATGGTATTGATGACTGGACAGACATTTTTCTTAACAAATTACTTAGACTATACAACAAACATTGTCCTATAAAAACGAAACAGATCACAAACAAACGGCTTGGTTGCCCATGGCTAACCAGCATCATTCTGAAATCCATTGATAAGAAACACCAATATGAAAAGCAATATAGGCAGGGCTTAATACACAAAGATATTCTTAAACACTATTCATCAGTCCTCACCAAAGTAATAAAGAAAGCCAAACAACTATACTACTCCAGTAGATTCACTGACACAAGAGGAGATATAAAAAAGACCTGGAAAACACTCTCTCAGAGTCTAGGGACCCACAAACTGAAAAAAACCAAGAATATTGCCCTAACTAAACCTAATGAAACACCACTGTATCCCACTGACACAGCTAACAAGATAAACGACTTCTTCTCAACCATAGGTTCTAATTTCGCCAATAAAATCCCACGCACCAATGCCCATGCCGGGGACTACCTAGATGGGAATTTCCCAAATTCCTTCTATCTTGCTCCAAATGAGCCCATGGAAGTCACTGAGATTATAAAGTCACTTAAAAATAACTCAGGGAATCTGTCTCATGTCCCACCATTATTGTACAAGAGAGCGGCCCATGTCCTCTCGCATGCTATCTCATTACTTTTTAACAAGTCACTAGAAACTAGCACCTTCCCGAAACTACTCAAGACGGCAAGGGTTACACCAATACATAAAGGTGGTGACCCTACAGATTTAAACAACTATAGGTCAATATCAAACTTACCATTGCTATCCAAAATCTTTGAGAAACTCGTGCACAGGAGACTATATTCATTTATAACGGCACAAAACATACTCAACCCTGCCAATTTGGATTCAGGAAAAATAAAAGCACTAACGATGCAATCATAAAAATGCTAGATCTACTTTACACAGCATTGGAAAATAAGGAATATCCACTAGGAATTTTTATTGACCTAAGAAAAGCTTTTGACACAGTAGACCACGGCATCCTACTCCACAAACTTGACCATTATGGTATAAGAGGCCATGCGCTTGCATATTTCAAATCTTACCTTACTAATAGGTATCAGTATGTCACCATTAAAGACACAGCATCAACAACACAGCCACTTGATACTGGAGTTCCGCAGGGAAGTGTCCTTGGTCCCCTGCTCTTCCTCATATACATCAATGATCTTCCAAACGTATCTCAACACCTGAACCCCATTCTCTTTGCTGACGACACGACTTATGTCATCTCTCACCCTAATCTTGCCACCCTCAACACCATTGTTAATGAGGAGCTGATCAAAATATCGACTTAGATGACAGCCAATAAACTTACGCTTAACACTGACAAAACCTACTACATTATGTTTGGTAGCAGAGCAAGAGATGCGCAAATTAACATTAAGATCGACAACACTCTAATTGCCAGGCATAATGAGGGCAAATTCCTAGGCCTATACCTCGACAACAACCTGAACTTCAGCACCCATATCCAACACATAACCAAAAAAGTATCCAAAACGGTTGGGATCCTCTCCAAGATACGATACTACGTGCCGCAAACTGCCCTTCTCACACTATACCATTCACTTATATATCCATACCTCACCTATGCTATCTGTGTTTGGGGTTCAACTGCAGCAACACACCTAAAGCCAATAATAACCCAACAAAAAGCCGCAGTAAGAATAATCACTAAATTCCATCCTGGCAACCACCCCCCCCCCCCACTCTTCATAGATCTAAACTTACTCCCTGTTCAGTACATCCACACTACTACTGTGCAATCTACATCTACAGGACCTTAAATTCCAATATTAACCTTGACCTAAAACGCTTTCTTGATAGTTGCGACAGAACCCACAGGCACAACACCAGACACAAACATCTCTATGACATTCCCGTGTCAGACTAAACCTTTACAAAAATTCAATGTATGTCAAAGGCCCTAAAATCTGGAACACCCTACCTGAAAATTCTAAAACTGCAGACACATTCATCACCTTCAAAACTACCATCAGAAAACATCTTATCTCCCTGATACACCCTGTCAACTAATTACACGAATACCACCTGGTGGTTAACACTTACACTCACTCACCCATTTGACCATAAACAGAAATATCAATCTCAATCTCAAAATAATGAATCTTAACTAGTCATAAGTTGGCCTGTGATACTCCAATACTGAAACTAGTCATGCTAGGTGTTCTAGTGGTACACTCTGTAATTATTATTTTACTACATGTAAACCACACAATAACCAAATTCTGTAAACTCAGCATTGTAATCCTTATTACCTGGAGTTTACCTGGAGAGAGTTCCGGGGGTCAACGCCCCCGCGGCCCGGTCTGTGACCAGGCCTCCTGGTGGATCAGAGCCTGATCAACCAGGCTGTTGCTGCTGGCTGCACGCAAACCAACGTACGAGCCACAGCCCGGCTGATCCGGAACTGACTTTAGGTGCTTGTCCAGTGCCAGCTTGAAGACTGCCAGGGGTCTGTTGGTAATCCCCCTTATGTGTGCTGGGAGGCAGTTGAACAGTCTCGGGCCCCTGACACTTATTGTATGGTCTCTTAACGTGCTAGTGACACCCCTGCTTTTCATTGGGGGATGGTGCATCGTCTGCCAAGTCTTTTGCTTTCGTAGTGAGTGATTTTCGTGTGCAAGTTCGGTACTAGTCCCTCTAGGATTTTCCAGGTGTATATAATCATGTATCTCTCCCTCCTGCGTTCCAGGGAATACAGGTTCAGGAACCTCAAGCGCTCCCAGTAATTGAGGTGTTTTATCTCCTTTATGCGCGCCGTGAAGGTTCTCTGTACATTTTCTAGGTCGGCAATTTCACCTGCCTTGAAAGGTGCTGTTAGTGTGCAGCAATATTCCAGCCTAGATAGAACAAGTGACCTGAAGAGTGTCATCATGGGCTTGGCCTCCCTAGATGAGATAAGATTTGTTGGGATTTTTAACCCGGAGGTTTGTCCACCCAGGATCATCCAATAGTGTATCATCAAGGATTGTCTTATTTCCGTTGTGGTCCTGGTAGCCAACACTCGCCTCACACATTGATGTCCGGGTTCGATCCCAGGCAAGGGTAACGACATTGGATGTGTTTCCTTACACCTCCTATCCCCGTTCACCTAACAAGCAAGTAGGTACCTGAGTGTTTGTGGACTGGTGTGGGTCGTATCCTGGGGGACATAACTGAGGACCACAATGGAAATATAAGACAGCCAGTTCCTCGATGACGCACTGACTTATTTCTTGGGTTATCCTGGGTAGCTAACCCCCCGGGGTTAAAAATACGAACAAACTCTTATCTTAATTTTGTCCCCCAGGATGCCCCCCACACCAGTCCACTAACACCCAAGTACACCTACTTACCGTTAGGTCAACGAGTGTAAATAAACATGCCCAATGTTATCACCCATGCCCAGGAGTAGCCCCCTGGCCTGGTGGCTAAAGCTCTCGCTTTACACGGCGAGGATCTGAGTTCGATTCCCAGCGAGGGTTGAAACATCGGACGTGTTTCTTAACACCTTTTGTCCATGTTCATCCATCAGTAAAATAGGTACCTGAGTGTTAGTGGACTGGTGTGGGTTGCATCCTGGGACAAAACTGACCTAATTTGCGGGAAATCCTTAGCATAACAAGGGTCTTTCTATATAGTAGTATGTCATTGATGTCAGCTATGGTCTGTATACCTTGTACATGTAGAAATAAAGATATTATTATTAACATAGTTTTGTTTTTGTGGTGCGGTAAGAAAGTCGTGTTAAGGTGTTGGAGTGCATGTCAGCCTCATACATGGATAATCTATGTACCACATATGGTAAATAAAAGAAATATTTTTTTCTGAGATAGGTGTTTAAAGTTTACCTGGAGTTCCTGGAGTTTACCTGGAGAGAGTTCCGGGGGTCAACGCCCCCGCGGCCCGGTCTGTGACCAGGCCTCCTGGTGGATCAGAGCCTGATCAACCAGGCTGTTGCTGCTGGCTGCACGCAAACCAACGTACGAGCCACAGCCCGGCTGATCCGGAACTGACTTTAGGTGCTTGTCCAGTGCCAGCTTGAAGACTGCCAGGGTCTGTTGGTAATCCCCCTTATGTGTGCTGGGAGGCAGTTGAAGTCTCGGGGCCCCTGACACTTATTGTATGGTCTCTTAACGTGCTAGTGACACCCCTGCTTTTCATTGGGGGGATGGTGCATCGTCTGCCAAGTCTTTTGCTTTCGTAGTGAGTTACTCAAAATTCTGGAGTCAATGGCGCTACCTGGAAATTGTTAGTTTATATTTGTCATGGGCATGTAAAGTTTGTAGTCAGTAATTGGTTTCCATACTTTAACCTATAAGATTTAAATAATAAAATATTATAAGGACCTCAGTTAATATAAGTCACTTTGACTTTTTGTTAGGTAATCTTAGTTAATTAACACATATGCTGCTATGTATGATAATTTATGTGATTGTATTTATGTGTACCTGCAACCACTTAATTGTGGTTGCAGGGGTTGATTCATAGCTCTTGGGCCCGGCTCTTCGGTGATCGCTACTAGGTCACTCTTCCTGCTCCGTGAGCTTTATCATACCTCTTCTTAAAGCTATGTATGGATCCTGCCTCCTCTACATCACTTTCCAAATTATTCCACTTCTTGACAACTCTATGACTGAAGAAATACTTCCTAACATCCCTGTGACTCATCTGAGTCTTCAATTTCCAACTGTGACCCCTTGTTGCTGTGTCACATCTCTGGAACATCCTGGCTCTGTCCACCTTGTCGATTTCTCTCAGTATTTTATATGTCGTTATCATGTCTACCCTGTCCTCTAGTGTCGTCAGGTCGAGTTCCCTTAACCTCTCTTCGTAGGACATGTCCTTAGTTCCAGGACTAGTCTTGTTGCAAACCTTTGTTGTACTCATCTAATTCCGGTTGCAGGGGTTGATTCACAGCTCCTGGCCCCGTGTGTGTGTGTGTGTGTGTGTGTGTGTGTGTGTGTGTGTGTGTGTGTGTGTGTGTGTGTGTGTGTGTGTGTGTGTGTGTGTGCTTGTACTCACCTAATTGTGGTGTCATGGGTTGAGTCATAGCTCCTGTGTGTGTGCTTGTACTCACCTAATTGTTGTGTCAGGGGTTGAGTCATAGCTCCTGTGTATGTGTGCTTGTACTCACCTAATTGTGGTGTCAGGGGTTGAATCATAGCTCCTGTGTGTGTGCTTGTACTCACCTAATTGTGGTGTCAGGGGTTGATTCATAGCTCCTGTGTGTGTGTGCTTGTACTCACCTAATTGTGGTGTCAGGGGTTGAGTCATAGCTCCTGTGTGTGTGTGCTTGTACTCACCTAATTTTGGTGTCAGGGGTTGAGTCATAGCTCCTGTGTGTGTGTGTGCTTGTACTTACCTAATTTTGGTGTCAGGGGTTGAGTCGTAGCTCCTGTGTGTGTGTGCTTGTACTCACCTAATTGTGGTGTCAGGGGTTGAGTCATAGCTCCTGTGTATGTGTGCTTGTACTCACCTAATTGTGGTATCAGGGGTTGAGTCATAGCTCCTGTGTATGTGTGCTTGTACTCACCTAATTTTGGTGTCAGGGGTTGATTCATAGCTCCTGTGTGTGTGTGCTTGTACTCACCTAATTTTGGTGTCAGGGGTTGAGTCATAGCTCCTGTGTGTGTGTGTGTGTGTGCTTGTACTCACCTAATTTTGGTGTCAGGGGTTGAGTCATAGCTCCTGTGTGTGCTTGTACTCACCTAATTGTGGTGTCAGGGGTTGAGTCATAGCTCCTGTGTGTGTGTGCTTGTACTCACCTAATTGTGGTGTCAGGGGTTGAGTCATAGCTCCTGTGTGTGTGTGCTTGTACTCATCTAATTGTGGTGTCAGGGGTTGAGTCATAGCTCCTGTGTATGTGTGCTTGTACTCACCTAATTGTGGTGTCAGGGGTTGAGTCATAGCTCCTGTGTATGTGTGTGTGTAATGATGCTGACTTGTCTCGGGTAAACAGCTGACTGGCACTGAGCTGTGGACTTTGCACCTCGACAGATCGTGATAACCGTGACACACCTCATCTCTCTGTATATTACAACCATCCTGGCACAAGATGGCATTATCAGCCTCCTTCCTCATCCGCCAGGTGAGTGTTGCACTCTGAGGAACCTGCAAGAGTTGACATGAGAGTTGAGATGATCATCCTCACTCTGGCTACCATTGTAAAATTGTAGTGACATTGACGTGTAATTATGAGTTGTCACATGTTAATGTTAATTATGTTAGGACATTAAAGATCATTGGTTTATCTGGTAGAGTTGTTAGTCACTGACTTAATGAGTTATGGTAGAATAATGGAATAATGGTGTCAGATGCTTGGCTGGGTATCTTTACGTAAGTATAATAGTTATCATTCATATAATATATAGTTTAAATTGCTTACGATGACTCAAAAAAGTCAGTGACCTATGTATTTCCATTGAGGACCCTTGATTTAACCCCTGAAACCCCTCAGGGGAGGATCTTTGATGCTAGTGAGAGGCTCTTGATGCAAGGAAGCTGATGTGACCTCCACTTTCTTGGATTGGACCTCATTGCCCACCCCTCTCCCCCAGGCACTATATGACTCCTACAGGTTTTGCACTTCCCCAGAAATTAAATGCAAAAATGTGAATCTTAGTTCAGCACAATGATGTAGTTTACTGCTTAGTAATACAGGAGTTTACAATTATACCCAGTCTTCATTTATTCAGACTTTCTACAATAAATATATTAACCACCCGACTCACGAAATCATAATGACACGATTGCAAACAAACCATACCACGGGCAGGGATAGAACCCGCGATCAGAGAGTCTCAGAACTCCAGACCATCATGTTAACCACTGGCTAGCTGGTCCAGTGGGTTACACGACGGTCTGGAGTTTTGAGACTCTCTGATCGCGGGTTCTATCCCTGCCCGTGGTATGGTTTGATTAACCACTCACTATAAGCTAAGGATGAAAATATTTTAAGTAATGTGTGTACTGTATATGCATTTTTTTAGGCCTAGTTATATTGCTTACTTAATATATGATAGTGTAAATATGTTATTATGCTTTTTATATGCATTGGAAAGTGAAAAACAAGACTGTTTCAGTTTGCAGTGGTAGCCTGGAACCTAACCCACTATGTAAGTGGGGTCCTGCTGTGTTAGATGCTGTAATTGCCGTTAGTTTTGTGTAAAAGACTGATTATATGGTGTTTATGAGAAATGGGCTACAGTACTCTTGTTTTAGGTCCTATTATGCTTAAATTTTCACATTGACAGGGACTGAGGTGTGGAAGAATTATTCAAGCAAGTAATGCAGCGATGGTTGTCCAGTTAAGAAGGCTTCATGATAACAAGGCAGTTTTGCCTCGGCTTCCTGTCCCTGCACTTGAAGACACACTTGAGAAATATTTAAAGTGAGTAGCTTATTTGGATGAAAATACTGTATTTTGAAATACACTAAATGGTATAAAATACTCTTTCACGTGACTTGATAGAGCCCACTGTGTGGGCAAAATGCTGTCAATAAAAGATCACATTATACTGCTTTTGTGTTTCATGAAATTGTAACGACACGATTGCAGACAAACCATACCATAGGCGGAGTTAGAACCCACAGTCAGAGAGTCATGAAACTCCAGACCGATGCGTTAGCCAGCTGGCCCAGTGGCTGATGCATCGGTCTGGAGTTTTATGACTCTCTGACCACAGATTCTATCCTGCCCATGGTATGGTTTGCTTTTGTGTTCATTTTTCCAGCACTATATTTAGAAGTTTTTTTCATACAGTATATTAATCCATGATTGTTCCTCTCCAGGTATGAATATAAACTAAAAGCTATCCAGTTTGCACATCACTTCTCTCTTTAGTTGGGTTCCCTCTAACCAAGGTTCATACTTGCTTTGCTATAACATGACTCTGGCAGAATCTTGCCAGAATTTGTATCCAGTTTAATTATTTTTTTCCTTTGATATCACCTACCACCAGAAATTACAAATGGCAGAGGGCTCACCTCTCACTGCTGCCCTTGCCAATGCATGCTTAGAATTCCTCGAAATTGTGTGCTTTGTCTTCCATAAGGTGACTACATTATGTCAATGGCATCCTCATCATTATTATTATTATTTTTTTATTAACACACTGGCCAATTCCCACCAAGGCAGGGTGGCCCGAAAAAGAAAAACTTTCACCATCATTCACCATCACTGTCTTGCCAGAAGGGTGCTTTACACTACAGTTTTTAAACTGCAACATTAACACCCCTCCTTGAAACTAAACACAACTAAATTCTTTAGTACCAGTGGCTGCTCATAACGCCAGTAATACTATCATACTGCATCAAACTTCTATTTTTAATCATTTTTTATCTTGTTTCAACAAAAAAAAATAAAAAATTAGCTTATAAATACATTGAAAACAACATACAACAGATTTTTCCTGTAATATATTTGTCAGTTTGCAAATTATTTTAATGTAAGGTTGATGAAGTCATACATCTGGCAGTGAGCATCTGAGGATGACTGCAACTCTGCAGCTCATATGGACGAGCCACCACTGTTTAGTACCCTCAATCCAACTCTGGAGAATAAACTAGACAACTCTCTCCCTTAAAATCAAATACACCCTGAAGTTTCATATCCCCTAAAACAAAAACTTGAATAATTATTACTTACTAAATGTGGGGTTGTTAATGAATTTTTTGCATGTACCTATAGCATTTGCAGTTCCAAATTTCTCAATTTGGAATGCAATGCAATAGCTTCACAAAACAAAAATCCCCTACCTATTTAACTTCAACTCAAACACAAAGCATTCTCCCAGACCCCAAAACTGACAACACAACTCATCTTCCAACTGGTAACATGGCCAGTCAAATTTTCCCCACACTTCACCAGGGTGACATCATTGCAGTTGTCACAACCTGTAGCCATACCAGTACTGAAGCAGGTGTCTACAGAAGTCCCTGTGGTGGGTGTGAGAGTACACATTGGTAAGACTGCATAGAATCCTCACACACATACACACACTGGGTAGCTACCTGAGGTATGGAAGATGGCAACTGTAGTCCCAGTTTTTATAAAAGGAGACAGACACGAGGCATTAAACTACAGACCTCTGTCACTAATGTGTATACTATGCAAAGTCATGGAGAAGATCATCAGGAGGAAAGTGGTGGAGCACCTGGAAAGAAACAACCGTATAATTAACACGGTTTCAGGGAAGGAAAATCCTGTGTCACAAACCTACTGGAGTTTTATGACAAGGTGACAGGAGGACAGGAGGGTCAGGAAAGACATGATAACAACATATAAAATGCTGCATGGAATAGACAAAGTGGGCAAAGACAGGATGTTCCAGAGATGGGGCACAGAAACAAGGAGTCACAATTGGAAGTTGAAGACTCAGATGAGTCAGAGGGATGTTAGGAAGTATTTCTTCAGTCATAGAGTTGTCAGGCAGTGGAATAGCCTAGAAAGTGATGTAGTGGAGGTGGGAACCATACATAGTTTTAAGACGAGGTTTGATAAAGCTCATGGAGCAGGGAGAGAGAGGACCTAGTAGCAATCAGTGAAGAGGCAGTGCCAGGAGCTATGACTCGACCCCTGCAACCACAAATAGGTAAGTACACACACGAGTCCTGGAACACAAATGTACCTGAAAAATACATGTGCAGAACAATGTGTGCATCATTCTTAGGGTAAAACAGATAGATCTAAATGACTGAACAGAGACTGAAATCATTAATTATCACAAAAGAAAATAGGACAAGAAGGTTGTGTTCAGAGGTTGCACATGTGTAGACTTTTAATGCCATCATACAGAGCCATGGGGCATCTAGCATTGTGAACTCTCTAGCTAGATTAGATTCATCTTTAAAAACCTCTCCATAACACTGCATAGGTCACCCAGCAACCAGACAACTTCATCATCCATTGTCTAACTACACCTACTTTCATCTCGCCTTCCTTTTCAGTGTACTGGATATTGTATGTATGTTGTGTGTGCGAAGTATTGACTTGAAAAAGCTCTTGTGGGCAAAATATCTTTAAATAAAAGTTTTGTTAGCATAATATATAGGAGTTACCCTGTATCTGCAGGGGATACCTTGCAAGACCTACTGTGAATACCTGAATAGTATGGATAGTAGCAAACCCTGTATGTAAGTCATTTTTTGTTAATGTACATACTTATGATAAAGTTTAATTGATACTTTATGCAAAATAAGTCTAGAATTACCACTTTTTAACTGATGGGAAGCATCTCACTGCTTCTCTTAGGCTTTGAAGAACTGCCAGCATCACTACTTTTGCACTTTGGGGCCATTGTTAAGAAAAATTAAGGGTTATTTTTGGGCCACAGTAAACCGTGGATAACTGAAACTTTGAATACTGAATCTATGGATGGGGGAGTTCTGCTGCATTACCAAATTTATTCTACTTGTATTCCTAGGAGGCTGAACATGCTTGGGATATTACTCTTTTAATTTAGCTAAATATAATTATTTTATTCTACAACAAACAGTTTATTAAAAAGTTATTACATGCTAAAGTATGTACAGCATTAAACCATATACATCACAACACTATACAACATCTCAAAAAACTATAAAATGTACATCACAAGACTACACAGTATACATCATAACATTTATCTTTACTTGTTAATAAGAAGATATATTTCTTTTACAGAACAGTGAAACCTCTGGTAACAGATGAAGAATTTGCAGTTACTGAAGAGATTGTGAAGAAATTTAGTGCTCCAGATGCAATTGGAGCAACTTTGCAGAAGAAACTGCTAGAGAGAGCAAGAAACACAGAAAACTGGGTTAGTAGTAATATGCAAACATTTCACACTGATTTTTATTTATGTCTTTTATAAATGTTGGGATTTCCCATGCTTGCAAAACTGGCATTACTGTGATTACTTATTTGTAGTTATAGAAGTAGAACTTTGCTCATGGTATCCTCTGCTTCAGTGTTTATTTTGTCCTTTTTGTTTTTTTAACATTGGCATTTCCCGCCGAGGCATGGTGACCCGAGAAAGAAGAAAACTATGAAGTTTATCTTCTTTTTACATTTAAAAATATGTGACATAATATCATTTGTGCATTATCTGAAATATAAAATATGTACTATGAAATTTGCTTTGAATTCAAATTATTTCTACTTTAAGCTCCACAGATTCTTGAAAAAGCATTTAACAAACAAAATGGCTAATTTAAAGTACAGATTTCTTGGAACACTGTACTGTAAATGCAGTCTTCCAATCTATATCTTTATTGAAGCATTTCTGTAACTGTCAAAGCAACTTAACAGAGTTGATATACAGGAATTTGCTGATTGAAAACTAAACTGTTAGCTAGTTAACAATTATTTTCTCTCCAAGTGTTTCATCTCCTTTTCTAATGGCTTTTTTCAAATACTTTATTTCTTCAAGGAGACATGCCTACATTATAATACATTTTCTCTGTTACCACTTTTAATTTTTTTTTTTAACATGCCGGCCATCTCCCACTGAGGCAGGGTGACCAAAAAAAGAATGAAGCACTTTCACCATCATTCATCAATTTTGCCATCATTCACACATAATCACTGTCTTTGCAGAGGTGCTCAGATATGATAGTTTAGATGTCACTCCAAACAGCCAATATCCCAAACCCCTAAACTTTTAAATACTAACATAATATGTTCCATTTTTCATTTGTCTGCTGGTTTACATTTTTTTTTAACATGTCGGCCATTTCCCACTGAGGCAGGGTGACCCAAAAAAGAAAGTAATTTTACTTTATTGTAGTGAAATACCAAAAATTTTCCATGGGGAAAACTTAGTTCATCTGCACATTTTTCTAAGACCTATGATAGTGCTATCATTTATAGTCTTACTCTCTTTTTTTCCCTCTATAATTTTCTTGAGCAACTTAAAATTTTATGAATTGAAGTTTTAGGATTTAAATCTATTACATCTAAAGTGCCCCCTTCCACAGATACTCTAGGACTAAATATTTAGTGGTTAATAGTGTATCTCGCACACTTTATCTTTCATTTCTGTGTTTTTACTGTTTGCTTAATTCTTGTATTTTTCTTTATACACTTGATTTCAGCTCTCTGATTGGTGGCTAAATGCAGCATACCTAGATTGCCGGGGACCAGTGGTGGTTTGGTCTTCTCCAGGGCTTGTCTTTCCCTTGCAGGAATTTAAAACATTGGACGATCAACTGAATTTTGCAGCTAAAGTTATTTCTGGAACTCTTGATTACAAAACTATGGTAGACCAGTAAGTACAGTAAATTCTTGTAAGTTGTCATTGTAAAGTACTACATTGTTTGATGAAGTTTTGTGATAAAATTAAGAATATTTGTATGTATAGAAGTAAAGGAGGTTTTGAGTTTTTGGGGGTTGAACATTCAAAAGGCTTGTGTGAGTGTGTTAGATCAGAATGAATGGAGACAGGTATGATTTATGACCTAACATCGTGTTGGAGTGTGAGGAAGGTAACATTTAACCCTTAAACTGTCCAAACGTAGATCTGTGTCCACGTGCGGGGGGCTCCGAACGTAGATCTACTTTTTTTTACATGCTTTCAAATGGGGAAAATCAAGGTCGGAGCACTACGCACGCGAATGTAGATCTACGTTTGGACAGTTTAAGGGTTAAGAAGGGATTTAGGGAAAACTGGTAGGTGAACTTGAGTCCTGGAGGTAGGAAGTAGTGTCTGCACTCTGAAGGATATTGCAGTTCAGAGGGTGATCTGAACTATGATGTTAGCATATTTCTGGCAAGACAGATGGAGTGAATAGCAGTGAATGTGTCTCCATCCTTTCACTTGGTCACCCTACCTCTGGGGGAGATGGGCATATTAAAAAGTATAATAATAATTTATTTCAATTCATTATACATGTATGGTAGAATAAGTTGAAAGCTAACAGTACACACAGCATTTTGGGCAGACTTTAACTAGGGCTAAGCTTATGCAACTGACTGATAAGGAGGGAGCTGGTGGTTTTTATTGGCAATTGCACTGGACAGAGATGAGATTGTTTTGCCATAACTGAAACAATAAAGGATAATTCTGTAACCAGCTGACTCTGTCCATTGTTTCTGAATGAATTGACCCACTAAATTTTGTCCTCTATTTCCTAAGTCCAGTAAATTGAGGGTTTACCATAATGTTCCTTGGAACACCCTGATGTGTATTGCTTAGGTGTGATTGTTGTACAGTAATCTCTCTGGTATTACGAAGGTAGGAATGAAAAAAGTTATTGGAAGAATTTTTTATTTTCTGTTTTTGGTTGTAGATTAGATTTTGCTTCCAAAATGGCTAGTTTATTGTACACCCAACATCCACCCTGTGAACAGTAGCACAAGAGCATATGGTTACACAAAAGGCCTGTGATTATATACCTGTTAATGCAGTAGTTCCAAGGATCAATGCCCCTTCCCTGTGGCCTGGACTCTTACCAGGCCTCAAGGAAGGTCATTTATAGTATTGGTGCTCACTGCATACGGTTAAATTGAGGAATTTGAGCTGCGTTGATCAGTCAGTGTTAGGAGGAACTTGTGAAGTTCATCTCTAGAGATGGTGATGATGTGAAAATGATAATTTTTTATAATTAATTTTAATTTTGTTACCTTAACAGTTTTAATGCTAATGGGTATTCCTCTCGTAGCTTATTCTGAATTTAATTTTTTTTTTTAAGGAAAACTGTACCACTGGATCGCATGGGAAAGGATATTTTAGATATGTCTCAGTACTTCAAGATTCTTGGTACTTGTCGCATTCCTGGAGTGACAAGAGATACAATTCGATTCTATGGGCAAGAGCCAAATCTGCCAAAGCACATAGTAGTAGCCCATAACAATCATGTAAGTATATGTTCCATGACTGAGTTGCAGAATGAGCATTTATTGGGACAGATTTTGCTCTGTATACAGCTGTATTAGTAATGACATGACAAGGTTCAATGTGATCAAAACATTGTCCTAAAAAAAATTCTCTGCAACTTGCTTCTTTTTCTTTGCGCATTTTGTAATGCCCTATTTCATCCATGTTTCTTACCTTGTTGTTTGCTTATCGATTAATTGTATATAAGTTTTTGTTCTTCAAATTGTAATCGAGTTGGCCTTGGTTTGTAATACAGTACTTATACTATAATAGCATTTAGCAGTTCTCGATGGGGAAGTGGAACAGAATTCTTCCTCTGTAAGTCATGCGTGTCATAAGAAGCGACTAAAATGCCCTTAGCAAGGGGCTAGTAATCCCTTCTCCTGTATATATTACTAAATTTAAAAGGAGAAACTTTCGTTTTTCCTTTTGGGCCGCCCTGCCTTGGTGGGCCACCCTGCCTTGGTGGGCCACCCCGCCTTGGTGGGCCGCCCCGCTTTGGTGGGCCACCCTGCTTTGGTGGGATGCAGCCGGTTTGTTGAAAGAAGAAGAAGCATTAGCAGTTATGAAAATGGTTTTGACTTTCTCTTTTATTAATAGTTTCTTAACCTATCTATTTGCCTAACTAAGACTACATATTTTGGTTTGGTATTCATGATCAAATGTTAGTTTTGCATTACTTTTTATGAACCATTTTCTTAAGTTTCAAACAAGTTTTCTGCCTTATTTACTATATTGGTTTTCCTTGAAAAAATTTTAATTTCATCAAATACTAGCCTTGCAATATAGATATTGAAGCGAGTGATCCTGAATAGTAAGATTTCCATTGTAAGATTTCCATAGTAAGATTTCCAAGTAAGATTTCCAAGTAAGATTTCCAAGTAAGATTTCCAAGTAAGATTTCCAAGTAAGATTTCCAAGTAAGATTTCCAAGTAAGATTTCCAAGTAAGATTTCCAAGAAGTAAATTAATCAATTCTTAAACTCTTTAAGTATTGTTCTAGTCATGGCATTGTGCCATTTTTTCTTTAAGTACTCATATACAAAGGTCATACTTATTTTTTTGTAGCCCCCTTCAGAATCAGACAGAGATACACAGTTGCTTTGTCATTAATTGACTCCTGTTTAGTGTTTTATGAGCATTCATTGATGGTAGTATTATTGGTGTCACTAAAACAGTTTTCTGAACTGTATTTATATAACTATTAATAAAAGTTCTTTAGAAAAAGTGAATGTTTTATAGAGAAAATAAAAATTGTCACGTTACTCCATAAAAGTGACTTGTAATTTAAATGATAGTGCTAGCCGGGTCACCATATGGAGAAGACCCGGGCCGGAAGTACCGGCGAACCTCTAATGAATGAATGAATGATAGTGCTCAGCTCAAAACTGAAGTAACCTAAGTTTGATTCCCAGGTGGGGTATGGGCACTGTTCATCTAGCTGTAAATAGATACCTGGGTGTTAGTTGACTGTTGTAGATGGCATTCTGGGGGCTAGTAGTATACCTTAGGGCTGCGCTTCAAAATGTGCTGTGGTAGAATAACAGCTTGTAGCCTGTAAATTCAATCTTGTAAAAAATACAGAATTACAAGCGAGGTCTGGTCATAGACTGAGTTGCGGGGGCGTTGACCCCCAAAACACCTTCCAGGTATACAAACATCTATTCACTTTTTAAATAGTAACACTGTACTTCAGAATTAATGAATAAATAAAGGTAAAATTTAGCATTTCTGACTTCCATTGTTCAAGAGTGTTCAATTATTTTCCATTGCATAAAGTGTAAAAATTATCTTTGTGTTACAATTGTCGACTAATCACTTAGAGTAAAAATTTGCACAAGCATAATAATTTTAATTGAAAGAGTGTTAGTGGTAGTATGGACATAAACTGTATCCTGAGCTCTCATTACTCTTTCAGTTCTTCAAGATTGATGTGTATGGGAAAGACGGAAAAGCACTGAATGTAAAACAGTTGGTTCATCAGCTGCGTAATGTAGTAGAGCGTTCTACTCATCCAACTATTCCGGTTGGCATTCTCACCACACAGAACCGCAATGTATGGGGTAAAGCATATAAACAGCTTAGAAAAGGTGAGTTATGCCATTTATGACCATAATAATTTTGTGTGTAATTACCTGTGCATAGCTGCAGAAACAGACCATGCCATGGGTGGGAATAGAACCCGCGATCATAGTCTTAAAACTCCAGACCGATGCGCTAACCACTTGGCCAGCTGACTACAGTAAGATTTGTCCAACTAGGTGTGAGCAGGGTAATATTTAGTGAAGGGATTCAGGGAAACCGGTTATTTTATATAGCCAGACTTGAGTCCTGGAAATGGGAAGTACAATGCCTGCACTTTAAAGGAGGGGTTTTGGGATATTGGCAGTTTGGAGGGATATGTTGTGTATCTTTATACGTATATACTTCTAAACTGTTGTATCCTGAGCACCTCTGCAAAAACAGTGATTATGTGTGAGTGAGGTGAAAGTGTTGAATGATGATGAAAGTATTTTCTTTTTGGGGATTTTCTTTCTTTTTGGGTCACCCTGCCTTGGTGGGAGAAGGCCGACTTGTTAAAAAAAAAAAAAAAAAAATTTATACATGGCTTTGAGGGGGACTTGAGCTAGAGCTAGTCACAGCTACCCTGGCGGGAGATTCGTTTGTAAAAACTTGCATATGTGGTCATAGTTGTGCCTATGGTAACCTTCCTATGGTGTATAAATATTCCTAGTTGGACGAAACTTATTGTAGCCAGCTGGCCCAGTGGTTAGCATGTTGACCTGGAGTTTTATCACTCTGATCACAGGTTCTATCCCTGCCCATGGTATGGTTTGTTTGCACTTGTTTTATTTTATTTTTTTTTATTATCACACCGGCCGATTCCCACCAAGGCAGGGTGGCCCGAAAAAGAAAAACTTTCACCATCATTCACTCCATCACTGTCTTGCCAGAAGGGTGCTTTACACTACAGTTTTTAAACTGCAACATTAACACCCCTCCTTCAGAGTGCAGGCACTGTACTTCCCATCTCCAGGACTCAAGTCCGGCCTGCCGGTTTCCCTGAATCCCTTCATAAATGTTACTTTGCTCACACTCCAACAGCACGTCAAGTATTAAAAACCATTTGTCTCCATTCACTCCTATCAAACACGCTCACGCATTGCACTTGTGTCATTACGATTTTGTGAGTCATGCAGAAACAGCTTGTAGTGTCTGATTTATAGAAATTAATTTATGTACTTTTCAAATTTCCAGTGGTTGTAACAATACCTCCATTGTTCCATCATTTTTTAAGAAAAATTTTCCATTATCCTTTTAGCTCCCCTTCTCAGTTTATGACTGTGCTTTTTTGTTTTTCATGTTGAAGGTAATGTGCTAAGAATTCTTCATCCTTGCAGATCATTTTATGAACCTAAAAAAAATTATCATATCTCCTTTTATCTTTATATCAATCAGTGAGAGCTTCTTTAATATTTTTGTGTACATATAATCACCCAAGGTCTTTCTATACAACTGATGATCTTTTAACCCTTAAATGGTCCAAACGTATATATACGTTTTTTCAACATCTGAAAGTATATAAAAAAATGTAGATCTTCTTTTTTGTTTTACATTTGAAAACGTGTAAAAAAAACTTTTATCTACATTTTTTTTGTTATATTTGAAAATATGTAAAAAAAAGTAGATCTACTTTTGTAGCAATACAAATTTGAATGTCGATCTGTTTGGACCATTTAAGGGTTAACCCATAAACAGTCCAAACGTATATATACGTTTTTTCAACATTTGATAGTATGTAAAAAAAGTAGATCTTTTTTTTTTTTTACATTTGAAAACATGTAAAAAACTTCGATCTATGTTTTTATTTTGTTATATTTGAAAATATGTAAAAAAAAACGTAGATCTGCTTGGACCGTTTACGGGTTAAGTTTCTGACACAATTATAATCTTTATTTGTTCTTTCACTTATCTCTATTGTGTCATTTCTCAGCATAAATCTATGTTCTATTATTTACTCCATGTGATCAGTTTATCTAAATCCTGTTAAAATTTTAGTCATCTTAAATACTTTATATACTAGGGGTCAGCCTAGGAAAGGTTGGAGGGAGGGGGTAAAGGAGGTTTTGTGTGCGAGGGGCTTGGACTTCCAGCAGGCATGCGTGAGCGTGTTTGATAGGAGTGAATGGAGACAAATGGTTTTTAATACTTGACGTGCTGTTGGAGTGTGAGCAAAGTAACATTTATGAAGGGGTTCAGGGAAACCGGCAGGCCGGACTTGAGTCCTGGAGATGGGAAGTACAGTGCCTGCACTCTGAAGGAAGGGTGTTAATGTTGCAGTTTAAAAACTGTAGTGTAAAGCACCCTTCTGTCAAGACAGTGATGGAGTGAATGATGGTGAAAGTTTTTCTTTTTCGGGCCACCCTGCCTTGGTGGGAATCGGCCAGTGTGATAGAAAAAAAAAAAAATTTTTTTGCAAACATATGTATTGTTAATATTTCTGTAGATCATCATTAGGTACCGTGTGATGAAGAGAAAGTTAGTGGAAGAAAGTCCTGAACAGGGGTGTGGAAAAAGACATTTACATATCGCTCAGGACATTTATTAGAGGAAATGTTTTGCCACGAGGCTTCTTCAGGACTGAAGAAGCCACTAGTGGTGAAATGTTTTCTCTAATAAATGTTCTGAACTGTACAAAAGTGTCTTTTTCCACATCTTGTCAGTATCACCATACCAATTTCTACAAGTACATGTACAATGTTGTTGCGAGTAAGAGATTTAGAGGAATTTTTTATTCCTTGGAAGTTTATAAAGAACTTCAGAATTTGACCTGTTACAAAATTTTCCCTCTCAGGCAACAAGGTATTGAATTAAAGCTAGTTTAATATAGTTTAAGACAGTGATGGAGTGAATGATGATGAAAGTTTTTCTTTTTCGGGCCACCCTGCCTTGGTGGGAATCGGCCAGTGTGATAATAAAAAAAAATAATATATTTTAGAGTCTAGGGGTAATTTCAACTAGGAAACTCAATACAATAATATTAAAATCTTATTATGTTTAATTTTAAAGTACACCTACCATCCGACTTACGACCTGCTCGACTTACGACCACTCGACTTACGACCGTGTTTTTTATGCCAAATTTTTGGGAAATAAACAACTACAGTATTTGTGTTGTACACAGTGTTTATCCTAAACCTTACAGTATAAAATACAGTACTAACAGCATAAAAGTAAAATAAAACATGAAATACCAAAATAAAACAATAAAATAAAGTCATTACAAAAATGTTTTGTTGATATTCAGTAGTAAGGTTCTATTTACGACCATTTCGACTTACGACTGGTTTCTCGGAACCGAACTCGGTCGTAAGCCGGATGGTAGGTGTATTTGAATACAATACTTTATCTTCTCTTTGTACATAATATTATGACTTAATACTGTATGTGCAATAGTTTTATGTATTTACAGAAATATATATATATATAAAGTTCAAACACATGGAAATATCACATTAACAATGAACACTAATCTTTAACTCTTTAAAATTTAAGTCTTTACAAACATCAAAGTCTTTGCCTCAACAAGACTGTGTTAAACCCAACTGCATAAATGTACAAAATTTAACAAGACCTCTGAATTCTGTCATAAAGAAAACAGACAGCAAGAATTTGTCTGAAAAGACATATCTCTAAAGATTGCTGGAATGCCCTAGAATATATACAAATCTCTAAAGATTGCTGGAATGCCCTAGAATATATACAAATCAATCTTCGGAACAATACTGAATGAACTATGAGCCAGCTCTTAAGTCTAATTCTCAAGAAAATTCAAACTGAGTGAATCTAAGAGAGAACCAATATATGATCAGTAGTCAGGGCTAGATCAGGGAGCAGACTGACTCACTGCCAGTCTGTTGACCCATCATCAAGTTGGATCACGTGACCCAAACCTCAGTAAGCCGGACTTAAACAAGTGAACAATTTACCTGATGGTTTCCTGACTTTTTGTATGTTCTACATGCATATAAGAAATCCTACCTAGCAATAATAATAACTAAAAATCATCGATATTGATAATAATAATAATAGTAATAATAATAATAATGATAATACCATGGTATATTTTATATATTGACAGATAATAATATAACGCTGAAAATCTCTATTTTAGCTATAAACGGAGACTTTCGCGCTATAATATTAAGTGATAATCACATTCTCAGACAACAGTTAAATATTACAGGATGACCTATCTCCAAGGTACAACAATGTATACTGGCTTAGCTGACATCAATGACATGCTACTATGTAGAAAGTCCCTTGTTTAGCAGAGCATTTTGGGCAAATTAGGTCAGTTTTGTCCTCAGGATGCAATCCACGCCAGTCAATTAACACCCAGGTACCTATTTTACTGCTAAGGAACATAGACAGCAGGTGTCTCAGGGAAACCCCTCCTAATGTTTCTGTCCATACTGGAGATAGAACCACAGACCTCAAGGTGTGAGCCAGCTGAGTGTGCTAGCAATGAAGCTACAGGACATGTTTACTTTAAGTAAATATGAATACTGCATAGAGATAGGTAAATGCACTTCAGGGCTTTCTAAAAGGGTTCCTGGGAAGAGTGGGAGGAATTAAAAGAACCAGTATTGTAGGAAATGAATAGCCTTCATTAAATTTCACATAGAATTGCTTCCATGAGTAACCATGACTGACTTATTTACTGCTTAAACCCTTCAACAGGGGTGCCTTGATGCTGGTGAAGGTTTCTTCGTCCAAGGAATTAGAGTTACCTTCCCCTTCCTGGGATTAAATAACTATCATTCTTCTTCTGAATGACTTAGATCTTTGTCTGATGCATTTTATGGACAGGATGGTACTCAATAAGTTTAGGATTTGTAGGTGCAATTTTTCCAGTTTTCTAATTTAGTTATTAAACTTGCACATCTAAGTTACCCTTTAAATTTTGAAGACAGTTCATACCTTCTATATAATTTGGTAATCTTTTCACAGCTAACCCAGAAATTGGAGATATAACTTACAAGTTATTTTAGTCCACTCTGGGCCATTATCAATTACCTGAAATGCGCCACATTCTAGTGGGTTTCTTTTGTGCTTAACAGTATTTTATTACATATAACTACATTTCCTGTATGTTGCAGTTTAATAACTGTAGTGTAAAACACCCTTCTGGCAAGACAGTGATAGAATGAATGATGGTGAAAGTTTTTCTTTTTCGGGCCACCCTGCCTTGGTGGGAATCGGCCAGTGTGCTAATAAAAAAAAATTATTATTATTGTTGTTATTATTATTATTATTATTATTATTATTATTATTATTATTATTATTATTAACAAGTTTCATTTACAATTTTAATCATGAATTGTTCCAGACAAGGTATAGTAACTATTATTCTGTTATAAATATTGCACTTTCTTCAGGCAGTGTTTCTGCTTATTGGGCAAATTTTGTGATAAATCATACCTCCAACAGATAAGACAAACAGAGCTTCTATTGACGAGATACAGCGGTGCATATTTTTGGTGGCATTAGATGGACCTATTGTCAACCCTACTGGTAACATAATGACTGATGCAGCTCTAAACTGTGTGCATGGTAATGGTCCTCAAGGATATGCAGGCAATAGATGGTATGATAAAACCATTCAGGTAAGATATTTCTTTATTTATGCAATTTAACCACTTCAAAAGTAAGTTAATTTTCAAGCATTTTTCGTCATTTCTCGATCACATTCTCTTTTTCTGGAGAATGTGACAGAGATTATGAAAGTGCTTGGAAATCAACTTTCCTTTTAAATGTGTATGAACATATTACTTGTGCTCTTGTTGCATTTACTTATTTATATCATATAACTTGAGTCCTGGAAATGGGAAGTACAGTGCCTGCACTTTAAAGGAGGTGCTCAGATATGACAGTATCTGAGCACCTCCGAAAAGACACTGATTATGTGTGAGTGATGGTGAAAGTGTTGAATGATGAAAGTTTTTTTCTTTCTTTTTGGGTTTTTCTTTTCTGGGTCACCCTGCCTCTGTGGGAAACAGCTGACGTGTTAAAATAAAGAAATGATGCTGGGTTACCAAGGATATAATTCAGAAGGATGAGAAGGGGTGGTTGAGGTGGTTTCTACATGTAGATGACAGAGAGAGATAGCATGACAAAGAGGATGTATAAATCTGGGGTGCAAAGTAAGAGGGTTAGGAATTCACCCAGTAATGGTTGGAGGTAGTGGGTAAAGGAGGCTTTGAGTTGTAGTGGCTTTAACATGCAGCAGGCCTGTGCTAGATAGGGGCCGGTGAAGATAAGGAAAGCATCTGTCTGTCAAGCCTCAGGCAACCTTTTTCTCAGCAGTTTTGAGGGTAAACCCTAGCTGCCTTCCTCTGAAATCTTTGAGCCTAGGATTTGGTGGGTGCTTTACACCCTGGTCTCTTATGTTTCTTAATAAATGTGCTATTTTATTTACACATCAAAATGTTAGTAATTTTTTCCAGAAATAATTTAACAATTTATTCAACAGTTCATTGTTGGGAAGAAGGGTGCAGTTGGATTGACCTATGAGCATACACCAGCTGAAGGACCTCCAGTTGCTAATCTTATGGATCACATTATGGATTATATGTGAGTCCTCTATTAAATTTTACTTAGTCTCAGGTGTATAGTGTTCCATTATTTATACGCACTTCCTTGCTTTGAAGGGTCACATTATATATGGTGTTACTCATGCAAAATTTTATTTTTTTAAGCACCAGGTTTTACTTAACACTGAGTGGGCTATACTGTGGATGCATAAGTATGGGCACCAAAGTTAACTAGGATAAGGCTGGGTGAAGCAAATAATGAGATATCTCTCAATACACCTCTGTTGATATACTGCATATAGCTGCTTTCTTTCTGTCTCATTAACCTGTCAAATGGCAAGTACATCTTACAAATTCTACCTTCATTTGGAATACAGTGGAACCTTGACTTACGAGTGCCCCAACATACAAGTTTTTCAAGATACGAGCCGTCGCTCGGTCGATAATTTGCTCTGAGTTACGAGCCAAAATCCAAGTTACAAATGAGCTTCCCTCTCAACCCACAACCCGCATACCTCATTTGTGTTTATCTATGTGTTTATCTATGGGCATCATCCTGTTTTCCTTCTCAACACTGTCCTTTGCACATACTTTCTTAGGACCCATGGTTAGAAGAAAAGAAATTTGGCAAAATAACTGTACAAAATGCAAGCAAAACATGAGAAATGCTTCCATGGTGAGGTAAACAGTGCACTGCGCCATCTAGTGGTGGCGTTCTGAAGCTCGTCATTATTATTATTATTATTATTCTTTCTTTCAACACACCGGCCGTATCCCACCAAGGCAGGGTGGCCCAAAAAGAAAAACGAAAGTTTCTCTTAAATTTAGTAATTTATACGGGAGAAGGGGTTACTAGCCCCTTTCTCCCAGCATTTTAGTCGCCTCTTACAACACGCATGGCTTACGGAGAAAGAATTCTGTTCCACTTCCCCATGGAGAATTATTATTATTATTATTATTAATTTAGGGAACTGGTGCACAGATCCAGTTCCCTAGATCAAGAGCCCCTCACCAGTGTCAAGGAACCTTGATGCTAGTGAGGGGCTCTTGATCTAAGGAATTGGATCTGTGCTCCAGTTCCCTAAATTAATAACAATAATAATAATAATTATTATTATAATAATTATTATTATAATAATTATTATTATAATAATAATAACGAGGAGCTTCAGAATGCCGCCACTAGTTGGTGCAGTGCACTGTTTACCTCGCCGTGGAAGCATTTCTCGTGTTTTGCTTGCATTTTGTACAGTTATTTTGCCAAATTTCTTTTTTCTAACCATGGGTCCTAAGAAAGTAAGTGCAAAGGACAGTGCTAAGAAGAAAAAGAGGATCATGTCCATTGAATTAAAGCATGAAATCATAGATAAACATGAGTGAGGTGTGTGGGTTGTATTGTGGAGTTTGCCAGGCAGTATGAGTGTAGTACAGCCTCTCCTCACTTAACAACGGAGTTCCATTCCTAAGACCACATTGTTAAATGAATTCGTTGCTAAGTGAGGCGCATACTATAATGGTAGTGGGTTTGTGTCAACCATCTTTGATATTGTTTTAATGTCACCTTTGTACCATTTATAATACTTCTGGTATTTTTAAATGTTTATACAGTAGTGTACTGTATATTGAAATAAACAAAATAGAGGAAATTAGCTCTAATATACATTATTTAGGTATGAATACTAGTCAAAGAGCCTGTTGTAAGTCCGAGGTGTCGGTAAATGAGTACGTCGTCAAGTGAGAAGAGGCTGTACTTCTGCTACGCCGGTACTGCCTCACATTAAGCATTAAGAGTGTACCTATTAAGTTCAGTGATTCAGTGTAGCATTAAGAGTGTAGCAGTTAAGCTCAGTGAAAATGAGTAGCATTAAGAGTGTAATAAGTAGCCTATCTTTTCCAACCTCCACCTCCGCCAGCGTATGTACACTATGTTTTTATACAATATTTCTTATTTATAGATACATTATTTCAGTGTTTTCCTTATGAAACTAGTGATCTAGTGCAATTAGCCTCACAAACACTCCATTTCCAGAAGGGGAAGAATGGGAAGATATGGTCAGTGCGGGAGCGGGAGGCGCTGTCACCGCTCGCCATATTATGGCCTATTTTATTCATTCTAGAGTATATATCATGTTTCTGTGTAATTTATGTTGTTTATTATGTCAGATCAGTACTTTATTCTTTCAACACACCAGCCGCATCCCACCGAGGCGGGGTGGCCCAAAAGGAAAAACGAAAGTTTCTCCTTTCAAATTTAGTAATATATACAGGAGAAGGGGTTACTAGCCCCTTGCTCCCAGCATTTTAGTCGCCTCTTACAACACGCATGGCTTACGGAGGAAGAATTCTGTTCCACTTCCCCATGGAGTGATAGATAAATAAGCCATAGAGTTGATATTAGTGTTATATTGAGACATTTTGTCTTGCCTCCTGAGAGCAGGAATTCCGCTAGAACGGATTAATGGCATCTCAGTTAATTTAAATGAGGAAAATTGATTTGATATATGAGCAAATTGAGTTACGAGCTAGGTCATGGAACGGATTAAACTCGTAAGTCGAGGTTCCACTGTACAGTTATCCTACCTTGCTGTATGTTTTTTTATTCTAATACTTCTCAGCATTTCTTATTGCAGGTATGAGTGTTTCAGTCACATAAAGCAAAGTCATAGATTTATGCATATTATTTTTATCATAATGGTTTAATAGGGAAAACAGGCAATTGGTAGTGATGATTGTTTTAGCTAGAGATGAGGTTGTTTTGTTATGATCCTAACAATAATAGACTTCTGTAACCAACAACTTTGTCTGTTATTTTTGCATCATTTGACCCAGCAGAAATCCTTTCAATTGAGCAGGTTTACTGTTTGATGCCATGGTTAATATTCAGAGCTCTACCAGATAGAGTGATAAAAATATTCAAAATAGCTTAACAAACACAGATTGAGTGAGGCACAAGATGCTTCCAGAGTGCAACTGTACATGGTGTTAGTTAGTCAGTAGACTGGAAGGAGTTGTGTACCACAGCATACAGTATCTTAATTTTGTGCCTATTAATGCTATGGGATGTACTACCAATATTTTTTATGTTGATTCTTTAATGCTTTATGGTGCATAATGTCAAGATTATCTTTCTATTAAATTTTTGATTGCACCTTTTCATTTGTGCTGCAACAGAATCACACAGTGCCAAGTCAGGTTGTAGAACAGTTAATGTATTACATTTTTTTATATAATAGGAAAGAGGTTACTTGTGCTTTAAATAATTTATGGAAAATTTACTTTACTTATATTATTGATTCACCATCAGAACCTCTTCAGAATATATTCCTCCAAAGTTTTCTTCATTTATTTTCAGGGGAAACACTGAGGTGACTCAGAAGGCTCACTATACAGTAATGATTTAAAAATTTAAAGATTTTATGCGGTTATGAGAATTACCATATTTTCCATTAGGTAAGACACAATTCCTTCCCCCCCAAAAAGCCAGAAAATGTCACGATGAAAGTATACTAAAGATTTTTTCACAAAACAAATATTAGGGTGGTTCAGATGTACTGGTGCAGCTTATGTGGCATTAATTATATTATGTAACTGCATGAAGGCTTTTATAATACAGCATAACTGCTGCTTCACCTTTTAATTTTTTTTGTAGTGTTATTTTTATGGTTGTTTTGAGCATGTTAAATTTTTTTTGCAGAATATCTGGAAGAGATGTGTCAGAGTAAGTTTTTAATGAACTCATCCATCATAAAAGTAGTAAGTAGTGATAGACTTATTAGTTATTCTTCTCTCTCCCATATACTTTATTTCCCAGGAATGGTGCATCAAAAATGGAGTATCTTATTCAGTAAAGGAATGTATTTTTATTTTTCTCTTTCTAAACAACTGTGTCACTTTATACACTTACTGTAGTAAGTGTATAAAGTGACCAGATCAGAGTTAGTGGACGTAAAATTGTGCCTGCTCCACTCTTTGTTCTTACCTCTATGGATTTAGTGTTTTATGAAATTCAGTACACTGTACAATGATGCAGCTTGGCAGGATAATTTATTTAAGAATGCACATATATGGGCATGTTAGATAGGAGCGGGTGGAGGCAAATGGCTTTTATAACTTGGTGTGTTGTTGTAGTGTGAGCAAAGTATCATTTATTAAGGGATTCAGGGAAACCGGTTAGACAAATCTGAGTCCTGGAGGTGGGAAGTACAGTTCTTGTACTCCAAAGGAGGGGTGAAGATATGTTGGAGTTTTTGAACTGCAGTACCAGCATGCCTCTTGAAAGACAGTAATGGAATGAGTGATGATGAAAGTGTTTCTTTTTTGGGACACCCTGCCTCGGTGGGAAATGGCTGATGTGTTAAAAAAAATATATATGGGTCAGTTTTAAAAAAAATTATTTACTCACTTGTTGGTTGTTGAGGATGAAAGAAAAAATACTGTTAATTTGAACATGACTCACACTTTATGATAATGAAGGAGGATTGTTTTTATTCATTTTAGTGAAAAGAAAAATGGTTCACAGCCCCCTGCAGAGGAGCTTTCTCGGCCCCATCGCTTGATGTTTAACGTAGGTGCTGATATTAAGCAAGACATCGAAGATGCCAAAGTTGCTTTAGAAAGGTAAGGTAATCGAAAAATCCTTACAGCAGTATTTTAGAAACCCTTGATGAGAGGTATTTTCATATTTATGTGAGGGAAGAATTATATGGGATTTAACCCATATATGGGACTGATTCTCATGAATCTTTTTAGTATTTTCAGTCATTTTTGTATAATGTCTTTGGACTTTTTCTATTGTATTCTCATGATTTCTTTGGTGTAGACATAACACAGATGCTTCATATTACAATTTTTAGCCTAGCACAGATTGTGAATAGATTTCAAGCCAGGAAAAATATCAGTGCTAGAAAATATATAAGTGCCAAAAATATGACAAGTTCTGTGTACTTCGGCCCACCATTGAAGCCCTCTTCTGAAGAATAAAAATGTAATTTCTATATATTATCTTAAACTTGATAAACAGTGCATTATATAAGTTAAACAATGATCTTTTCTGTAGTTTGGTTGGCGACCTTGAGATGACCTGCTTCAAATTCTCAGAATTTGGCAAGAACTTCATCAAGTCTCAGGAACTAAGTCCAGACAGTTTTTTGCAGATGGCCATTCAGCTAGCTTTCTATAGGTGGGAATTAGCTGATTGTTTTCTAGTCATGAAAAAATTACTGGCATATATTGCTTGATGAACTGTTACAGTAGTCATAATTGAGTTTGTTACCTCTTTCAATTTACATTTTGTGGTAAAGAATTAAAATTTTGAAATTAAACCAGTCTAACTTCATTAATATTTATTGATTGTAATATTTCAAGAGAGTAACTTATACTATATTTATTTTTTTATAGAATTCATCATGAGCCAGGTGCCCATTATGAATCAGCTTCAACAAGGAAATTTCTTTATGGTCGCACAGAGACTATCCGTTCCTGTTCAGTTGAATCTGTTAACTTTGCTAAAGCTATGCTCAACAAGGAGACCCCAAATGCAGAAAAGGTAGCAGCTCTGCGAGCTGCAATTGAAGCACACAAGTCATATGCCAAACACGTATGTATTATTCTCTTAATATAATCTTTGAGTGTAGTTCTCCCAGATAGATCAGATATGTTGTTCTTGGCGAGTAAGGTACATGCATACCAGTTGAGTATCTTACTCATCAACTTGTTGGTATTTCATCCCATTTTCAGTGTGTTGTCTTTGGTTGCTTATGGAATCAAAGTTTTGGTGCATATGAAAGTACATGTAATATTGTACATATTGGTCTAACTGACGGTCCAGTTGACACTGGTCCATTTTCTCCAACTCTACATTACCTTTTCATTAAACCCTGTTTTTTTTTATCTTCTGTAGTCTTGAAAAATAAAAGTCTAAATACCCTGGCTGCAACAGTTTGCATTCAGCTCACAAATTTGTCTTGAGATTTAGAAAACTCTTCTATTTTCCCAAGGTTTGTTAATGATCCAGGATGGACCAAAACAACTACCAAGTTTCATCTCCAATTTGTGCACTATTTGTATTCTTTTGCCATACCCTTAATGCATTTAATTTTTGTTTCTCTTTCCTTCCCTTTTTTTTTTTTCAACAAACTTATTTGTATGTCCTTTTTTTACCCCCACATTTGCATTTCTGTACAAACAGTGAGTGCTTATCACTTATAATAGCTAGACCTATGTGCAGAAGTCTCAGTACGAATATTTGGCTGCTTCTTCATAAGTGCTAAATTTAATACTTGAAGGTTTTTGAAAAGTCTTAGGATAGCACATGGCATCAAAGATATAGAAAAGGAATGTGGATCTCTCTCTACCAGAAGATTCCAAAAGTTCTCTATCTCCCTTATCTTCTAAAATACTGTTGAAAAAAACTGAATATAATGTAAATTTTTTTAATACTCTTGCTGTCTCCCACCAAGGCTGGGTAACCTGAAAAAGAAGAAACAAAAGATTTTCTTTTTACATTTAGTAGTTTATACTGGAGAAGGGGTTACTAGATTGAATATACGTACATATCAAATATATTTTTTTAACATGCTGGCTGTCTCTCACTGAGGCAGGGTGACCCAAGAGAAGAAACACTTTCGTCATTCACACTATCACTGTCTTGCCAGAGGCACACAGATACGACAGTTCAGATGTCCCTCCAAACAGCATATATCCTCACCTCTATAAACACTTACATGAACCACTTATGGTAATTAAAAATTTTCTTCTTAGGCTGTGAATGCACATGGGGTTGACCGTCACCTTCTTGGATTGAAACTTGCTGCTATTGAAGCTGGAATGGATGTACCCACACTCTTTATGGATGTGGGGTATTTACGCAGTTCTCATATGCGTCTCTCCACAAGCCAGGTAAGCAGAATGCACGCTTATATATGGTACCTTTGTATTCATTATGCTGTTGCTCATTTCCAAGTTCAATTCACTGTATGTCTGCATATGCTGTTGCCCAATTTTAAAATAGGCTCAGTGATAAACACATACTTTTTTTTTTTTAACATGGCCGTTTCCCACCAAAAAACACTTTCAATGTTGCCATATGCACCAGTGAGCCAAATACTACTAAATCTGCACATATGAAATCTGAGATGCCATACTGCTTCGCTACAGCTGAAAGAGTTAGAGGCCCTTTATATTACGTAGTCTGAACTGTAGCTTAATTAACTTGTTTCTTTATGTGACATAAAATATAGCAGTATTTTGCTGATTATCATATTCCTGAGGAAATTCTAAACCCAGTGTCATACATCACATGGGAAACAGGCAGTATTCAAGACTCAAGGAAGGGAAGGGAAGCGTAGTTTTAGTTCCTTGGACCAAGAATCCTTCACTAGTGTCAAGCACCTGCTCTGAAGGGATTTTAATTATTATTATTATTATTATATCATACTAACTCGGTTCTCTGGTTTCAGGTTCCTGCTCGCTGTGATGCCTTCATGTGCTTTGGGCCACTAGTGCCAGATGGTTATGGTTGTTGCTACAATCCTAGAGATGATGCTGTTTTCTTTGGCACCTCAGCTTTTAACTCTTCACCAGAAACAGACTCAGCCACTTTTCGTGAGGCTCTCGAACAAAGCCTTAGAGATATGCAGAATATATTAGTGCAAGATGGACTCAAAGCCAAACTTTAAATTATATTACAGAATTTTTGTATTGTTCCATGATGTTCAGAGTTCTAGAGTTATTTTTCAAGGTGCTGTGTTATAGTTCTGGGTGACATTCCAGAATGACATAAAATTTCCTTCAAAAAATAAAAAATCACCAGTTTTACTCCTTGAAGTGAAACATAAGCATTAGAAATGTATTAAATTATATTATAACCACTAGAGACCCTATTATGCTTTTATTACAGCCTCTCCTCTCTTAACGACGGAGTTCCGTTCCTAAGACCACGTCGGTAAACAAATTCGTCACTAAGCAAAGGGCATACTATAATGGTAATGGGCTTGTCAGCCATCTTTGGTATTGTTTTAATGTCACCTTTGCACCATTTATAACTTTTTTAATATATTTTTAAATGTTTATACTGTAGTGTACTGTATATTGTATAAACAGAATAGAGGAAATCAGCTGTAATATACATTATTTAGCTATGCATACTGGTCAGAGAGTCCGTCGTAAGTCCGAGTCATCAGTAAGCAAGTACGTCACCAAGTGAGGAGAGGCTGTATTTCAGTCTTTATTTTTAGTGTCATACGATTCTTACCAGTAATTTTTTGGTGGAAGTATCACCATTTTTTAAACTTTTCCTCTTAACAGCCATAATTAATCAGCTGTAAACCACAAAATTTTGAACAAACAGCAAACTCTGTCACAAGCTCCTCACAAAAGCCTAAGCCAAACTGTCTGGGCAGTATTGTGTTCGTCTGCACATGCTTGTTTTATTAGGATGAGATTTTGGACAAACAAATTTGTGTATGGATGAACCAAGCAGAGATTGTGCGCTTCATTATAAAAGTTCGTATGACAGAAATTTCAAAGTGCCAGTCTTTATGAAGGAAGGACGGGCTATATTGTATAATGTACTTTGTTATGCATGTTTTATTAAGCTTTTGAAAAAAATATTAAGCAGAATATTCTTAATTTTAGAAATGCAAAATAAAATAAATTCTTTCTCTCTGTTATGGAACAATATCCTCTAGTTATTTTTACTGGTGATTACATATGTGACTAAATCTTGAAAATGGTTAATGGTTTGTGATTATACTGGGAAGCACTAAACCTGAAAGGGTAATATAGAACATGGAGAATGGAAGATAGTAAGGTTAGATCCAAGGAAGAGGAGGACAGCTTCAATTACTTGGATAATGAACCGTTAAATGACATCAGTATGCTAATTTTGAAGAGGTTTTATGCTTTAAACAAAGGATAAAAAAAAAAAATTTAGCCCAACAGTATTTATATAAAAGTTTATATCACAGAAAAATGTATAAGAAGGATTTTATAAAAATCTAGTACTGTACTATACATTACATGAAATTCTAGATGTGATATTTTGAAATTTTTTATATAAATTTTCATTAATAGCTACTAATAAAATGTTTTTAGGTTTTAAGTTTAAAACAGTTTTAATCTATATGGTGCTTGCAAAATTGCACTAAACCCTTGTGGATTATTTGGTGCTGTATTTAGAAAATCATGATACAGTACTAAACCACGGTATGGGCAGGGATTCAACTCATGTCTAGTGAATCATAATACTCCAGACTGATGCATTAGCCACTGGGCTGGCTGGCAGGAGATCCATCTGTAAAAGCTTGCATTTGTGGTCACAGTGGTGCTTATGATAACCTTCCTATGGTGTAGAGATATACCTAGTTGGATGAATCTTATTGTACCCAGCTGGCCCAGTGCCTAACACGTTGGTCGGGAATTTTACGACTCAACACGACTTCAATCCCTGCCCATACAGTGGTTTGTTTGCAATCACGTTATTACGATTTCATGAGACTATAAAATTACTTGAGCAAAATAAAAAAAATTGTTTGATTGTATAAGTTAAGATGAAAGTTTTAAGTTATCAATATTTACACTATGTTGACACCCACATTAATGTGAAACGTGTGTACTAGCAAAAATATTTCTAATGAAAAAAAATTGCAGGCTATGTAAAGCCTGTAATTATAGGATGTTGCATGACAGTGTCTTCCATTGCAGACACTGCAAGGCTCCAGGCGGACATCAACCAAATCTTTCAGTGGGCTGCAGAAAACAATATGAAGTTCAACGATGAGAAATTTCAATTACTCAGATATGGTAAACATGAGGAAATTAAATCTTCATCAGAGTACAAAACAAATTCTGGCCACAAAATAGAGCGAAACACCAACGTCAAAGACCTGGGAGTGATTATGTCGGAGGATCTCACCTTCAAGGACCATAACATTGTATCAATCGCATCTGCTAGAAAAATGACAGGATGGATAATGAGAACCTTCAAAACTAGGGAGGCCAAGCCCATGATGACACTCTTCAGGTCACTTGTTCTATCTAGGCTGGAATATTGCTGCACTCTAACAGCACCTTTCAAGGCAGGTGAAATTGCCGACCTAGAAAATGTACAGAGAACTTTCACGGCGCGCATAACGGAGATAAAACACCTCAATTACTGGGAGCGCTTGAGGTTTCTAAACCTGTATTCCCTGGAACGCAGGAGGGAGAGATACATGATTATATACACCTGGAAAATCCTAGAGGGACTAGTACCGAACTTGCACACGAAAATCACTCACTACGAAAGCAAAAGACTTGGCAGACGATGCACCATCCCCCCAATGAAAAGCAGGGGTGTCACTAGCACGTTAAGAGACCATACAATAAGTGTCAGGGGCCCGAGACTGTTCAACTGCCTCCCAGCACACATAAGGGGGATTACCAACAGACCCCTGGCAGTCTTCAAGCTGGCACTGGACAAGCACCTAAAGTCAGTTCCTGATCAGCCGGGCTGTGGCTCGTACGTTGGTTTGCGTGCAGCCAGCAGCAACAGCCTGGTTGATCAGGCGCTGATCCACCAGGAGGCCTGGTCACAGACCGGGCCGCGGGGGCGTTGACCCCCGAAACTCTCTCCAGGTAAACTCCAGGTAACATTACTATCATTAGTAAGTTTATTTAGGCATAGGTACATATAAGTACAATTATTATACATAGCGCTGTATAGCCCTTGTGGCTTAGCGCTTCTTTTTTATTATAATAATAATAATTATACATAGTGCAAATTACCTAGGAAGTACAAGGCCTGCACTTTAAAGAAGGGGTTTGGTATATTTGCTGTTTAGAGTCACATATAAACTGTCATATCAGTGCACCTCTGCAAAGACTGATAGTGTGAATGATGGTGTTTTTTTTTTTTAGGGGGAGGTCACCCTGCTTCGATTAAAAAAATTACCCAGGATAGCCCAGAAGTCAGACAAAGTAGCTTATTTAAATTATACTATTTAATTACAGATAAGAGTTACCATGTGTAATAGCTTGTAAATTATTGTTTACATCTCAAAACTGACATGGAGGCTGTCATCATGACCTCTGAGTCAGACTGGTGCATCCCATAATAAGGTCAGGCCCATCAAGACTTGATGCTGGTGAAGGGCTCTTGATTCAAGGGCTTAGAACTGTCCTCCCGAGGTGCTGTGGTTGTATTGCTTCCCTAAATATAATAACAATAATTTAAGGCAGGAAAGTTTCTCTCGCCCCTTCAGTCGTGTGGAAATCTATCCACAATTGTCAAGATCATCATCAATATCAAGGTGGTCACCATGAACATCAAGGTTATCATCATCAACATCAAAGTCATCATTATTATCATCATTAAGCTAGGTCTGGTGTACACCATACAGGTGTTTTTTAACTAACTTATATTTACAAAGGGTGGAAAACTAAATATTTACTCAGGCCCCCCATTCCCAAGGTCCTACAAGTTGCTATTTATTGTTCACCCCCATACCCATCCTGTGGGTGATGGTTACCCCATACCCATCCTGTGGGTGATGGTTACCCCATACCCATCCTGTGGGTGATGGTTACCCCATACCCATCCTGTGGGTGATGGTTACCCCATACCCATCCTGTGGGTGATGGTTACCCCATACCCATCCTGTGGGTGATGGTTACCCCATACCCATCCTGTGGATGATGGTTATCCTATACCCATCCTGTGGGTGATGGTTAACCCATACCCATCCTGTGGATGATGGTTACCCCATACCCATCCTGTGGATGATGGTTATCCTATACCCATCCTGTGGATGATGGTTACCCCATACCCATCCTGTGGATGATGGTTATCCTATACCCATCCTGTGGGTGATGGTTACCCCATACCCATCCTGTGGGTGATGGTTACCCCATACCCATCCTGTGGGTGATGGTTACCCCATACCCATCCTGTGGATGATGGTTATCCTATACCCATCCTGTGGGTGATGGTTATCCTATACCCATCCTGTGGGTGATGGTTATCCTATACCCATCCTGTGGGTGATGGTTATCCCATACCCATCCTGTGGGTGATGGTTACCCCATACCCATCCTGTGGATGATGGTTACCCCATACCCATCCTGTGGATGATGGTTATCCTATACCCATCCTGTGGGTGATGGTTACCCCATACCCATCCTGTGGGTGATGGTTACCCCATACCCATCCTGTGGGTGATGGTTACCCCATACCCATCCTGTGGGTGATGGTTACCCCATACCCATCCTGTGGGTGATGGTTACCCCATACCCATCCTGTGGGTGATGGTTACCCCATACCCATCCTGTGGATGATGGTTATCCTATACCCATCCTGTGGGTGATGGTTACCCCATACCCATCCTGTGGGTGATGGTTACCCCATACCCATCCTGTGGGTGATGGTTACCCCATACCCATCCTGTGGGTGATGGTTACCCCATACCCATCCTGTGGGTGATGGTTACCCCATACCCATCCTGTGGGTGATGGTTACCCCATACCCATCCTGTGGGTGATGGTTACCCCATACCCATCCTGTGGGTGATGGTTACCCCATACCCATCCTGTGGGTGATGGTTACCCCATACCCATCCTGTGGATGATGGTTATCCTATACCCATCCTGTGGGTGATGGTTACCCCATACCCATCCTGTGGGTGCTGGTTACCTCATACCCATCCTGTGGATGGTTACCCCATACCCATCTTGTGGATGATAGTTACCCCATACCCATCCTGTGGATGATGGTTACCCCATACCCATCCTGTGGATGATGGTTACCCCATACCCATCCTGTGGACGATGGTTACCCCATAACCATCCTGTGAGTGATGGTTACCCCATACCCATCTCGTGAATGGTTACCTCATACCCATCTTGTGGATGATGGTTACCCCATACCCATCCTGTGGATGATAATTACCCCATACCCATCCTGTGGATGATATCCCATACCCATCTAATGGGTGGTAGTCACCCCACACACACCCATCCTATGAATTAGTGAGTATAAAAGAGGGTGGGTAGGAAGTGGATAATTGGGCTGGAAAGTAGATGGGTGGGTGTGGAGGGAAATGAGCAGCAAGGAAGTGGGTGAGTTTGTAGGGAATTTCGTGGATGGGCGGGCAAGCAGACATGTGGGTGGTGGGCACTCCCCACCTGGGTGGGGTGGCACTGCCCATCACAAGTGCCTCATGCCCACCACCACCAGTCTGAGAACACCAGTGTAGTGGACGACGGTGTAGTGTGTGGCTGTGTAATTACCTTTCTCACGTTGGTGGGGGTTGAACCCCTGGCTCCTGGTGTGTATCACTATATTATGGAGCTTAATTAAGTGATTTAACGTTCTAAATTAATTGCGGTAGTCATGGAAATTACACAATTCCCTTAAAAGTGGTATATTTTCGAAATGAAAAAAAAAGATGTGATGGAGATTTGTATATTCCGATTAATGTGTATATACGGCATTGCAGGCTTAGTTTAGTGTATATATATATAAGGGAGAACGAGGCTTGAGGAAGGTATGTCTATACTTAATTGTGAAGAATGGATCATAATACAAGGATTTTCACTGCCTTAGCTGCGATACAGCCAAGAGTGTAGTGGTGTACTGACCTACTTGTGGTTGCAGAGGTTGATTCACACAGCTCCTGGCCCCGTG